GAAAGAAAGAACAAAAAAAAGTAAGCACAATAAAAAGAAAAATAAAAAAGAGCTTTATTGTTTTTAATTAGTTTTTATAATTAAAAATATCACAATCCAAAACAAATAAACTGTTTTTACCGAAGGTCAAGTGTCAAATTTGAAAGTTTAATGCAATTTGCTAAAGCAGAACCTAAGTCTGATGCACCTATTGCACCAATTTAATTTTTACTTTTTAAATATCGAAGAAAAAATATATCATTAAATATTTAATTAGAAGGAAAAAATGAAGAAAAAATATGAAATCATAAGATTAATTAATTAATTAATAATAAAAGCAAAATTTGAAAATAAAATGATGAGCTAAATTAACAAAGAAAGAAAGAACAAAAAAAAGTAAGCACAATAAAAAGAAAAATAAAAAAGAGCTTTATTGTTTTTAATTAGTTTTTATAATTAAAAATATCACAATCCAAAACAAATAAACTGTTTTTACCGAAGGTCAAGTGTCAAATTTGAAAGTTTAATGCAATTTGCTAAAGCAGAACCTAAGCCTGATGCACCTATTTCACCAATTTATTAAACCTTTTTAAATATTGAAGAAATAATATATCATTAAATAGTTAGTTAGAAGGAAAAAATGAAGAAAAAATATGAAATAATAAGATTAATTAATTAATAATAAAAGCAAAATAAGAAAATAAAATGATGAGCTAAATTAACAAAAAAAGAAAGAACAAAAAAGCAAGCACAATAAAAAGAAAAATAAAAAAGAGCTTTGTTGTTTTAAATTAGTTTTTATAATAAAAATATCACAATCCAAAACAAATAAACTGTTTTTACTCAAGGTTAAGTGTCAAATTTGAGAGATTAATGCAATTTGTTAAAGCAGAACCTAAGCCTGATGCACCCTTTGCACCAATTTGATTGCCACTTTTTAAATAATGAAGAAAAAATATATCATTAAATAGTTAGTTAGAAGGAAAAAATGAAGAAAAAATATGAAATAATAAGATTTATTAATTAATAATAAAAGCAAAATTTGAAAATAAAATGATGAGCTAAATTAACAAAAAAAGAAAGAACAAAAAAAAAGCAAGCACAATAAAAAGAAAAAGAAAAAAGAGCTTTGTTGTTTTTAATTAGTTTTTATAATTAAAAATATCACAATCCAAAACAAATAAACTGTTTTTACCGAAGGTCAAGTGTCAAATTTGAGAGATTAATGCAATTTGCTAAAGCAGAACCTAAGCCTGATGCACCTATTATCACCAATTTAATTAAACCTTTTTAAATATTGAAGAAAAAATATATCATTAAATAGTTAGTTAGAAGGAAAAAATGAAGAAAAAATATGAAATAATAAGAATAATTAATTAATAATAAAAGCAAAATTTGAAAATAAAATGATGAGCTAAATTAACAAAGAAAGAAAGAACAAAAAAGCAAGCACAATAAAAAGAAAAATAAAAAAGAGCTTTGTTGTTTTAAATTAGTTTTTATAATTAAAAATATCACAATCCAAAACAAATAAACTGTTTTTACCTAAGGTTAAGTGTCAAATTTGAGAGATTAATGCAATTTGCTAAAGCAGAACCTAAGCCTGATGCACCTTCATCACCAATTTAATTTTAACTTTTTAAATATTGAAGAAAAAATATATCATTAAATAGTTAATTAGAAGGAAAAAATGAAGGAAAAATATGAAATAATAAGAATAATTAATTAATAATAAAAGCAAAATTTGAAAATAAAATGATGAGCTAAATTAACAAAGAAAGAAAGAACAAAAAAGCAAGCACAATAAAAAGAAAAATAAAAAAGAGCTTTGTTGTTTTAAATTAGTTTTTATAATTAAAAATATCACAATCCAAAACAAATAAACTGTTTTTACCTAAGGTTAAGTGTCAAATTTGAGAGATTAATGCAATTTGCTAAAGCAGAACCTAAGCCTGATGCAGCTTCATCACCAATTTAATTTTAACTTTTTAAATATTGAAGAAAAAATATATCATTAAATAGTTAATTAGAAGGAAAAAATGAAGGAAAAATATGAAATAATAAGAATAATTAATTAATAATAAAAGCAAAATTTGAAAATAAAATGATCAGCTAAATTAACAAAGAAAGAAAGAACAAAAAAGCAAGCACAATAAAAAGAAAAATAAAAAAGAGCTTTGTTGTTTTAAATTAGTTTTTATAATTAAAAATATCACAATCCAAAACAAATAAACTGTTTTTACCTAAGGTTAAGTGTCAAATTTGAGAGATTAATGCAATTTGCTAAAGCAGAAACTAAGCCTGATGCACCTATTGCATCAATTTTATTGTAACTTTTAAAATATTGAAGAAAAAATATATCATTAAATAGTTAATTAGAAGGAAAAAATGAAGAAAAAATATGAAATAATAAGATTAATTAATTAATAATAAAAGCAAAATTTGAAAATAAAATGATGAGCTAAATTAACAAAGAAAGAAAGAACAAAAAAAGCAAGCACAATAAAAAGAAAAAGAAAAAAGAGCTTTGTTGTTTTAAATTAGTTTTTATAATTAAAGATATCACAATCCTTTTTATAAAATTAAAATTTTTAATATTTTTTATGAAATTTTTTCTATCCTAGATTTTTAAAATTTATTTTTTTTCAAAAAAAATGATATGTTATGCTTTCTAAAAATTAGCTTTATTTATAATGTTATTTAGATATAAATTAAATAGGTACTTCACTATAGTTAATTAGGAAGAAAAAATGGAGAAAAAATAGAAAAAAATAAAAGATTAATTAATAATTAATAAAATTAACAAAGAATTAAAAAATATAAAATTATAATAAAAAGAAAAAGGAAAACTAATCAAATAAATTAAAAGAACTTTAATGTTTTATATTAACTTTTATAATTAAAAATATTATAATGCAAAACAAATAAATAGATTTTATTAAGTGTAAGTTTTAATGGCAAAAAGGAAGAAAAAATATCAAATAATAAAAAATGAATAATAAATAAATAATTAAAAATTGAAATGAAAATTAAGTTAAAATTGCTAAAAAATTTAAGTTTTAATAAAAATCAAAAAAAAATGATGATAATTCCTTTTATATAAATTATTTATTCAAATAAATTTAAAATAAAATAAACAAAAAATATTAATAATAATAAAAATAATATTAATTAATTAAATTACTTGAGATCAATATGGAGAACCTAATGAGATAAAAGTGAAGAGCTTTTAAACTTTTTTTATTAATTTATATAAATTTACTAGTTATTAATAAAAAAATTAATAATTACTTCTTCTAATTTATTATATTTTTTAATCTATTATATCATTTATTTTTTTTTTCAAAAATATTGAATAGCAGTTTATGAAATTTAATTAATTAATTAATTAATTATCAATGGATAAAAAGAACAAATAAATATAATAATTAATTAATTATGAAATATTAATTTATATATTTGATTTTATGAAGAGATATCACATTCACTATTTAAACTTAATATTTTTATTTAAAACAAAAACTTTATAAAAAAAATAACTAAAATTTTAGTTTGACTTAATAAATATATTAAACTATACATATGTATTATATTTGTATTTAGTCTTGAAAAATAAGGCAGTACTCTAAGGTACTATATATGTGATTTATAAACACAAAAATTTATTAACAAATAGATAATAAAGAATTAGATACAATAAATCAAGATAAAATTGTGTTTTAATTTGTATTTAAACATAGTAGTTTCTCCTTATGTTATTATTAGTATTCTTTATAAAATTTATAAAAGTAAGATAACTCACCTAAATATACTTTTTATTTATCCTATTTTTTAGATAATTATTTAAAATATAAAAAAATAAAAAATAAATTACTTTTAGCAAATTTTTAAATTAAAAATTTTCAAAAATTTGCCTCAGAAAATTCCAGTGATCTTTAGCTGCAGTAATAACTAGCTTATTTTTGGCAAAGTTGTGGAAAGACAGTATAGCATCTATTTGCTTTTTTGTCAAGAAATTGGCGATAACTTTCCATAAAAAGTAAAGATTTATGAAAACTATTATAACAGCAGAAATAACCATAATTAAAATACTCTAACTTTTTATAGAATCGCTAATAAATACCATCAGAGTTATTGTGAATATAGATATGTCCATTTGTCTTATACAAAGTTTTTACATAGAACATGTTTTAAAAGGACTGACTAATAAATAATATTATCAAACAAATTAAACATAATTATTTAATCTAAAAAGAATTTACAAATTATTTTCAAAAGTTTTTGGCAAACAAATAAAACTAATAATAAAGATATCTTTTAAGTAGAATCAGCTAATTGCATTTTAAGGATAATTATCAATAAGAATATCTATAAATGTCTAAATAAATCCCAATAATATGCTTAATCTTCTTTATAGCCTGATTTGAAGTGATTAAAAGAAAATATTACAAAAATGCTCTTAGTAAATCTTTTAATGATAGCCATTTTAGTTAAAGGTATTAAAATAGCCCAAAATATTAATAGAGGTATAAATATAAAAGTAGACCATTTATATTGGCTTTCATCACATCTAATTTAAGTTGAATAGCTATTGTAAGAGTAGTTATCAATTTAACTACAAACTATCTATTTTTAAACAAAAAATTAATATTTAATATAAATTTTTATTATGATAAAATCAATTTGAAAAGTATTTTTAAAATTAATTAAAAATTTTGAAATAGAAGAAAATAAATAAATAACTTACATTCGAGCTTAATATATCAATGATTTATGGTGAGTAAATAAAATATGTGAAACTTGCTATCAAAGTAAAAAATTACAGTTTAAATTTACTAAAAAAATAATATTTTTTTCTAATTTAGTTCCATTATTAAAAGCTTTTTTCATTATTATTATTATTTTAGTCTTCTTTGTTATTCTAAATTTGTTATTTACCCTATTGAGCTATTTTAAATCTTATTAAAATGATGCAATAACTAATAAAATAAGTTAAGACAATAATTATGAATATGTGAACCTGACTATATAAAACTTTCATGTAAGCCAAAGGAATAATATCAGTTGCAAAGCAGTCAAAAAGTCTTAATATAAATTCATTTTATCTTGATAGAAAAGTAAGTATAAATGTAAATGGCCAAGGGATCTGTAGCTGCAGTTATGTTATCAAAAAAAGCAATTGAAAATAGCAAATAAAAATTTTAAAAGTTACTATTCTTTAGTTATTATTTCTTTATAGATTTTCATTTAAATTTTAAATATATTCTGATAAAACCAATAAATTGCTTTAAGGGCAATTTATATGAGCTTAAAATAAATTATCCCAAATAATAAAAATTATGTAAATAGTAAAAGTTAAATATACTATTTAGGTTACAATTGCTACCAATATACTCAGCATTATATTTTAACTATTACACCTTTTAAACAAAAAATCGTTATTAAATTGAGTAAAAATATTAAATTTTTAATCTTACTCTTAGCAGCTGTATTATTAATATTTCATATATGATTTATTCCAATATTTGCCTAAATAATCACAGTCCAAACAGAAAACACCAGTGTTACCTATTTTTATGATATAGTATTTAATTTATTGTAATAATTCAAGATTATTTTTAATATATTATCATAATTTTACTCAAAAATTAATATTACAATTATAAAAAACGATAGAAAATTTAATAAAATAGTGAATAAATAATACCTTCTTCACAGTAGTATATATTCCAATTACCAGATCTTTAAGTATTAAGGAGAGAACTATCTCTTGAAATATCTCCAACACAGTTTTAAGGCCAATCACTGCAATATTCAATAACATCTGTATTATTATTTAGCCTATAATATCCATCTGGTAAGCCTATGTTGCTTAATTAGCATTAAAATTGATTAGAATAACATTTTTAGCAGATAAATTATCCAGGCTTGATAGAATAAGTTTAATATTAGCAGGCTACACAGGAATCGTATGTATTATTAATTTAATTACTTTTATATCCTACTTAACATTCATTTGTTATTTGTATTTCAAATTAAAATGTTATATTCTTTAAGATTTAAGATATAGTTCCTTATTCATTATAAATAGCTTATTTGACTTAATCACAATATAAACTGATTCTAAATTTTTAACTGAATTTGCCATATATTTCAAGATCACTCAAATCAAAAAGATTGTCTTTAAATGTAATTTTATTACTCCTGAGAATATAGTTACTATTTTGGTCACTATTTATGATACTAACATATAAAGTTATATTATCACTAGACATAGTTTTATAAATTTGATTTTTGTTACTGCTCATTAGAAACACTGTAAAAAAACCCTATTATTAATATTATTGTTAAATTAAATATTACTGATTAGCAAATTATGAAAATATAACTAAATTACCTTAACTTATCCAGATGATGGAATTATTACAGTATCATTTTATTTTACTAATATGTTATTATAGTAAACTTAATAAGATGTAGGAAAACTTGCAACGTCAGACCCAAATTAATATGCTTTGTTACCTAATATGAAGTTGTTCTGAGTCTATGGTAGGTTGAAATAAGAATAATATCCTCCTCCTCCATAGTGTGCTATGTTTTAAATGATGTAAGTATTTTATAAATTAATATTGAAAAGTTGATATTAATTTATTAGTATTTAATCAGTTAATAGACTTATCTATAAATCATTGTAAATTCCTCCACCTAAACTGTTGGCTATATTATCATTAATTTTAGTATTTTATATTATCATTTCAACATTCTTAGCATATATTGCTCCTCCATTACCGAGAGAAGTGTTATTCTGGAATGCGTTTTAAAACATTTGTACAATTTTTATAGGATTATATTCATTGCTTAGTAATCTGCTGGTTAAACTTTGTATTGGTATAGATGATTACAAATATATTCCTCCTCCATTTTGGCAAATGTTATTCTTAAAGAAAGAATTTTAAATATATGCTGCTCCACTGATTTCAAGATTTAGATTACCATATGCACACCCTGAACAACTAAGACTGTCTAAAACTGTGTTTGTAATATTAATTGAGTTTGCTTTAAATTTGATCAATTATTATTTTTCAAGCAAAGACTCTATTTAAAATAATCTAACACTTTCTAGAGCAATCTTATTTGCCTCTATGTGGATTAATTCATAATCAGTTGTTGTCATTAAATATTATGAAAAGGTATTTAAGTAAGATTGTGTGTTAATAACTTAAATAGGGATAGGTAAACTGATCTATTAAGAGATTAAATTATAGTCTAAAAAAGAAAATGTTTACTGAAACTGTAGATTAGTTATAGTCACTTATTCACCTTAGTTAATATAGATGTAGTAGTACTCATTATTTTTTAAGAAAGTAGAACTTAAAGTAGCTTGCATCTATACAATTTGTTTGTTCATATTTTAAATTGTATTGAATACTTAACAATTTTGTAGTATAATCATTATTTTTTAATAATCAATCCCATTAATGTATAATATAATCGATTATAATAGAGAGAAGTTGTCTTCAAAATTAACATAATTAAAATTAGCAAAAATGCTCACATTTGTTTTTTCAATATAAAATACAGCTCCCTATATAGCAAAATTATTCTAAAAAGAGCTATTTTCTACTGTTATGTCTAAATAATTAGCTAGATTTGTTTAAATATAAATTGCTCCACCCATACTATTTTAATTATTAATAAAGGCTTCATTACTTTAAAATGAGCTTTTTCTGATTAATAGTTAACCAAGTCCAGTTAAACAAATGTATAATGCTCCTCCATTTATTGCTTTTTACCCACTGAAAGATGAATCTATAATTTATATTGAATCGGCTTGAATATAAGCAAACCCTCCTTATAAATCGTAATTAGGAAGTTAAGGTTACTGAGTAAGGAATTAAGCATTCGTAATGTAAATATCTAAAAAAATAAGATATAATGAAGGAGTGGTTAATTCTGTTTAATTGTCAGTAAAATTGATATTTTCTATAGTAAGTTTCCCCTTCTAACTAACTATATAAAATCCAGGGCTAGTTTAAAGATATTTTACCTTATATTAAAAAAATATAATTTAAATAAATAAATAAAAGAAAAAAGCAAATCAATTGGAGAAGGCGTATATTATAAAAAATTAAATTACAAATGATGAAACTTAAGAAGCTAAGTAGTTTTAACTTATATTTATATTAATAAGTTACAAAGTCACCTGTTCAATGTTGTTGATAATAAACATGCCAACGTTGTTGATAATATTTCTCACAATAAACTTGTTATTTTCAGCTTTCAAATCATGAATTTTAATAATTAAACTTTGATTTTAAGCATCAGTGTTAGTGATTTTAAAAATAGTTGCTATTGATAAAGTATTAATTATTGAGAGTTTACTAATTTCTAAAATTTAATTGATATTGTTTATTATGAATTAATCACACTATAAGGCTTGATTGCCCGTCACAACTCCGTCACTTAAAAATAAACTTTGAGTGTTTCTTAAAGTTAATATTTTCGAAAAGTAAGAGTTATTTACAGTAAATTTGCTTAAAGTAAATGATATAGCATACTAAATGTTTATAAGTACACTATTAAAACTTGTCAAAAAGATATTATCGGCTTTCACGTTCAAAAGATTTATTTTTATTTAGTCAACAAGAGTTTTGCTATTTCCAATTAGCTTGAAAAGTAATCCACTGCTTGAGCTAATTAAATTTTATTATACAGTGATATCGCTTAAAAAGAAGTTGAATTAATCAGTATAAACTATTTTAGGTTATTAATACACCTCAAATAATGTGTAGTTAATAAAAGTGTTATTGTTGATTATTAGTTAAGATAGCTGAAGCAAATTTTGTTAAAAGAGTGAATATTGTTGTTAGCATGTAAAATTATTAAATTATAAAGTTAAATTATTTATTTAATTAATAACAAAGTAACTATATGAGATTATTTAGCTATTTTAACCAATTTCATTATTCTGAATAGATACATCATTCCAATTAGAATATGTTCTTTTGTTGGCTTAATTTGATTGAATATTAAAAAATATAGATCTATTTAAAAAACTGCTACTCTGAATTAATAGTCCCTAAAACTCTATATAAAGATTCCCTGCAAAAAGCTGTACAAGAGACCCTTAGTTAAAGTTCATCTATATTAAAAAAAAAATTTATTTCTTTGATTTAATATTAAAAATTAAATTTTATTTGTTTTAAAAATTTTCTTGTTTTGCCTTAAATTTTAGGAAAGATAAATAAATAAATTACATTTATGAGACTAGTATTATGAACAATAAACAACATCCTTGGATTTTAAAACTATTGAGTAAAGATCAAATTAAAGAAATTCTGCTGATTTACTTAAAACCCTTGAATATTAACATTTTAGAGAGAAAAGGAATCCATTACATTATCAAATTCAAATATAAAATTATTTGGAATTTAATATTTATTCAGTATATTAACATCAGTAAAATTAATACTTTTTAATAAAGAATTATTGATTTAAAATCCAAATTTCTAATTACTAAAATATGAATTTTGGCTAGAAGTAAGCAGTGAAAGACTTTAAAAAGTAACATGAGTAAATCCTGATATTTATATAGGCTGACTTGATTCTAATGTTGTTTAAGATTAAGCTTTGTTTGTTATAGTTAAAGAAAATCTTTGCAGTCCAAAAATATACTATGAAATACTAGTTTTAATTTATATCTTTTAAAATAACCTACAATCATTTTGATTAATTATTAATTCTACATCAATAAATTCAACTGAGATTTCATTATAAAACACCAAATATTTTGTTAAATCTTATTAATTAATTATCAATTTATCCCAGTTTATTTCAGAAGATCTTTGAATATTTAATGGGTTTCCTATAGTTCCTTCTCCAATACTATCTGAATTAGAACCACAAACCGCGTAAATCTATCGTTTTACTGTTTAATAAGTGCAGCCTTGGTCTGAATTCAAACATAACAAGCATTTTTGTCGTTCGCTATCATATACCCATTTATAGTTGCTTCTCTCACTTTCAGGAGTTATTTAAGGAATAGGCAAATTATCTTTACATTTTTTACACAATGAACTGTAAATATTAAATGGATTATCCTTTGTTTCTCCAACTTTCTCACAGGCTTAGCAACTTTTAATAAACAAAAAATAGAATCATTTTAAATTTATGTTTCTTAAAAAAAACAAATAATTTTTTCAATAAAAAATTAGATTGTCCAAAAAATAAAATTATTTATTAAATATTAAATACTCTTAATTCTTATTAATTAAGATTCAATTTAAAAATTTTATTTAATGTTAGAAATTAAATATAAAAAATTCAAAATTTGGTTTAACTTATTTTAAATTAAAGTAAATATTTATTTGTAAGAGGTGAAGATTGTTTTTAACTTTTATTGAATAAGCTTTTATTGAATGGTAAATTTTAAAGTATTTATGTATTTACGGGTAGGGACACATGTGACAGGCAGAATGATTTTAGTCAAAATTAACCATACTATTAATATCCACAACACTGTTACCATTTAATAGATGAAACAAACTAATATAGCCAATAATATTGGTAACATACGACATTAAATATTACTAATTGCATTATAGACACTTAAAAATTTAATTTTTGTAGAGCTGGCAAGATTAGCAAGTTTGATCACACTGGAGTTAAATGCATTTATAATCTTTATAGTAGTAACCATCTTAGCAATAGGTACAAAATAAGTATGCTTTATTATCATTAATTAGATTTTAACGAAATTTTAGAGAATAAAATGGCTAATTAAATGTAAATTGGTCACTATAATTTATGATTCCATCACCTATTTAAAAAATAAATAAATTAAGTTTGGTAACTTCATAATTTGAATTAAAATGTACTATAAAAGCATTCTACACAACCAGTTGGACAGGGAAGGCAACCTTAGAGTGTTACTACATAATTATCTTCGCATTTAGTGCATTAATAAATTTATTAATTTGTGTCTTAATCTATATAGGAATAGCAACTTCTACAGTTTAATGTCTATTAAAAAATATGAATAAATTTGTGGATTAAATAAGAAAAGCAAAATTTTACATTTTAATTGCATGAAACTGCTATCTAATTTAATGAATTTAAATATTGAGGCAATTAGTTAAAATAGCACGTATTAGTACTGCATTGATAACAGAAAATTGGATTTGAATTGTAAGTGTCTTAAAATAAAAGACTCTAGCATTTAGAAGTAAAAACATTTAAATTTATGTTAACTGAGTTACTTACACATTAATTGTAATATTATGTCATTTAATTAAAACACGTATCTCTACTTCTTAAGCATAATTAATTCTAAACATTAAAGTATGTTTAAGTGCATTAGTAGCAGTAAGGAGCAACATTATTATTAAGCTTCCAAGAATTTGAATTCAGTATATAAGGAAAGTCAGTCTATACTACATTATATTCAATTTAGCAATTTTAAATTGTTGTTTGTTAACAATTCACATCTAAATATTTAAAAATTATTTTATTTATTTTCATTTAGTTATTAATTTTTACCATCAAAAAACTTATAAGAAGTGTTCAAGCACTCTATGCATTTATAAATTAAAGTAGCTACAGACAAAAAGTTAGGATCAAAGTTTAATTAATTAGAGTGGTTATAATTAGGCATTCCTTTAAATTAATTAAAAATATCTCTTTAAAATATTAATTAAACATAAAATTTAAATTTAAAGCTTTCTCAAAAATTTAGAAAATTGAATACTTTGAGAAAATATTCTTAATAATTCATTGATTTCTATTTTTAAATTTCTGAATTTTCTATCTTAAATTTATTTTAAAGCTATAAATGAAAACATATAGGAAATAATATTAATTTTTAATTTAAATATTGCTAAATTTTTATATTATTTTTACCTGTATAGCACAATTTACAATTTTAACCACAGGGATCACATCCTTGATAAGTAGATTACACTGTAAAGCCTTATTGACACTGAGTACATCTTAAAGAATATTCTTCAGAAGATAGTTACGATAAGAATTAAGAGCTATATAAGTTCTATATTTCACTCCAATTAATATTTTGCTAGTTATAAAATCCTCCAAAAACACAATCCAAACAATTTTTAGGGCATTAAAAACACCTACCACTATAATGCAAAGAAAAACCTTGATTACATTTTAAGCATTAGTGCTGTTAGGAAATTTAATTATAAAAGCATTAATTGCATTAACTGTCACCTGTAAATAATTAAAAATAATAAAAATTTTAAAATATTTAGTTACTACAAGTTTCAACAAAATCTTCCTTAAATTTAATAAGAAAAAAAAAGAAATTTTGGGATTATTTTAGATATAAAAATAAATAGGGAGATTTAATTGAAGCAGCAGTTTGGAAAATAATTTACATTAAATATCTTAGAAATATTAAAAGAATTTATCGGTTAAGACTGTGCTTTAGGATATTTAATAATAAATATTGATTTATTTTAAAAATTCTAAGCTAACTATTTAATTATCTGTATTTAATTCAAATTAAATGAAATTCTAGCAATCAATTAAAGAAGTTTAGAAAAGAAGCCTAATAGAAATGTAGTCATAATATTAAACCTATTTAACAGATAAAGGAAAGCTGTATATGTCTTATCTATAATTTATGATATAAATCTAATGTTATAAAAGTAGTTTTTCATATAAATTTACATAAATCCTTTATTGATTCCATCTTATGTGCATTAAAGAAAAAGCCTATTTTATTAGTAGAATTGGCTTTCATTATAGTCTAATTTATACTCAATACTCTAAAAGTTTTTTATAGAAATGCAAATTATTTTTTAAGGATTTATTTCTATAAGATAATAGTTAAAAGAACACTTAGTACAAACATTTTTACTTTAGCAGGAAAAACAACTAAGTTATTTATTTATTTAAATAATATTTTATTACATTTAAATTTCTTTTATTTAATAAATTAACTTACTTCTATGGACATTATTAAGAATCTTCAACACCAAAGCTCTCTGAAATGTAAATTATGTTCAAAAAAGAATAAAAGGAATTTGATTTATATTAGACTTCCTATTATTCTTCTAAGCTGTAGCATTTTCCATTTCCAGGCTAAATAAAGTTAATTGGGCAAGAGTAACAAAATTAAGAACTGTTTGAGATATTTTGGCACATCCTCAAAGTATTTGTGCATTGTATAGAATAGGAAGGATTAGTCAAAATTTAGTTTAAATATTAATTTGTGTCAACAATTAAGCAAGGAACATCAGGTCTCTATTTAATTATGCACTAATTTGACAGTAACTATAAATTTATCATTTCAACACATGTTTCTTTAAATATAAATGTAATAAATCAATAAATATTATTTTTTAAAATATTTACACTAACTATTATTTTTGCACGTTTAGTCAGGACATGATTTACAGTTTTTTAACTTATAAAATTAGCAATATCCTGTTTATTTAATAATTAATAGCTTGATTTTTAAAAATTTTGCTTCGAAAAGATAATATTTTTTTTAAGACGCATAAAATATTGTAATTAATTAATTAAAATTTAATTTAAAAATAAAATAATTTACCATATTAGTTTACACAAAATTAATTTTCTATTGAGATTTGAATACATTAATTATATTAATTTAAACAGCTTGAAGGATCACATTAATAGCAAGGAAGATTTAAAGGGTTATTATTTACGATTATGCAAGTAGTATCATAATATTAGCAAATACCTGGCTACATTTGAATGCAAAATTATGTCACAGGATCTTTACAATACTATCCATATGCGCATGTTGACTATTTTACATTAAATTAAATAAAAACATTATTTTCTTTTATAAATGGTTACTGCTGGCTAATTAGGCGAATCTATAGTAATACATTATTATAGATTACTCTTGTATATTCCTATATAATTTAATAAGAAAATTTGGTTTTAAATTGTGATGGAAAAGCAATTAAAAATGAATAAAAGCTTTTTCAATTGTTATTTATTTTCTATTATTAAATATATGATTGTTTTTTTTATTTGGTTACAGAATATATCATTACAATTCCACATTATATATTAATTCAATTCAAGCTTAAATTTCATTCATTTCAAAGCCTAACAATTCTTTCATAAAAGACTTAATTTATGTGAGTACCATTCATTAAGGAAAATTTGATTTAGAAAAGAAATAAAGAAATTCAATTATATACCGATAACATTATTGTATTGATCTACTTTAGTACAATAGGCAGAATCTGTTCCAATATTCATTATACAATACCTAATTTTATTTTACAAAATTTCAAAGTATTATGAAATAATTTAAAAAATTTACTAATTTTCACATTCAACAGCTGTTATTTATTCCTCAATTAAGCATCTGTAGTTTTAATCTCTTCCAACGTATTCATTATTGTATTTTTGACAATAATTATTGATTATGCAAAAACCTGAGGAACATTTAATCGCCTACATTTAATATTGTTGTAAACAGTTTCCATCCATATCTACTCCATACATTTACACTAAACTTTATGAAGAGCAACCAGTGCCACTAACATCATTTAAAAAATAACATTAATTAAACTAACTATTAAAACATATTTCTAGACTAAATTAGCAATCTGTTAACTAAGGAATAGGATAGTTAGTACATTATAAACTAGTTACGCATTTTTAATTAACATCCTTACCTAAATATATACCTGAAATGGCTACACATTAGTTATTATAAATGCAAAAACTTTTCATACATTAAATTAAAGTTTCACTACCTCCATAGTCAGAGCATCTATCAGTAAAAAAAATCTTTCCTCTGTATCCATCTTAATTACTAAGTGGAACACAATTTTAATTTTGATCCAAACAGTAACTATACGCACAGTTAACTGAGTTTCCCGTTTATTATTAAATGGACTGACAAAAATCATTATTAATATTTTTAGCCATTTGCTATTCTATGTTTGGATTTAGCTAAACACAAAAATAACCTTAAGAATTTTATATGATGCAATATCCATATCTACATCTATTGAATTAATTCAAATAAGAAAATTTATATGAAATATATCCAAAATAAGTTAAATTCTATTTATTTATTAGACATCTAATTTATTTTCCTAATAAAGTTTAAAATTGGAATATCTATTCTAGTTTTATTGTAATTCCTCAAACAATCAATGATTAATTTTCAATAAAAAATTGAGATTATTAATTTTTCAATTAAGATTGGTAGTAGTATGTATTAATGCAAAAATAAGTATAATCTTTAAAAGAGATTTGGGTATTTAAAAAAATAAAATGGTTGAGTTATTTATTCAAACCTTCATTTTAATAATTAAATAATTAAATGAAAACTAATAAAAAATAGTATTACTTATAAGCATTGTTTTAATTAGGAAGCAAACAATTCAAATTAGGATCTAAGCCAACTATAAAAGTACTTAAATCTATATTTTAGCAACTGTATCCATTAATATCAAATAAAATACAATATTTTGGTGCACAATATTTTAATTACTCAGCAGTATAGCCATTAAAATAGCAGTTATTATTGATTGTTTTCCCCTTTTTATAAAAAATAGCAACAACTTAAAAATAAATTGGCTTTATAAATTTAAAAAAAAAAATCTTTACAATAATATTAGGATCTTATGTCATTAAAGTGCACATCTTTTAATTCTGATTTAACTAATATTAACAAACTCCGTCAATCTAGCTATAACAGTTAATATTTATTTATTGATAGTACTAGCAAAAATTTGTTGCGGTAACACCTATAAAATTACTTAATGATGTTATGTCATAGCAATTATTTTAAATTGAATTGATTTATTATAAGCAAAAACCTTAAGAGCACTTAACACAATTTACATTAGGTTAACAATATCTGTTTTAATCATAACAATTGCTGTTCATCAACTCTATATAATTCATTTATTTATCTTAAGTAACTTATGTCAATTCTCCCTCATTTGTAATGTCTACTATTTAGGAAATAGTTTTATTTTATATACAGTCATCTCTACTAGAAAAAACATGATATTGATTGAAGTAGCTAACTATTTTAAAAAATAATTTTAGTAAAATATTTAAAGTTCAGTGTTACCATCAAAGAGATCTCCATAATTAAAGAGTACAATAGTTCCACAATAAATTTGAAAAATATTAAAACTAGGACAATCCGGATTTGTAAGAAAAATAACAGCTGTATTTATATTGTTATCTACAATTTATTACATCTTATATTAAAAATCTCTAAAATAGGTGTTATTTTGAGCTTAAGATAACTTTAATGTATCAAGATGAAAGATAAACCTCAACAAAAATAATATATTAAAAATGCTCTATCTCATACTTTTCTAACTTAATATTTTGTCAATAATTTAGAATCTAGCTAAGTTTTGAAATTTATTAATGATTTTGTTATTATAAAATCGATAACTTTTAAATAAATTCTCCCTTCTCTTAAAACCTTAATTTCAAAAAAATTATACTCAAAATAAGAAAATAGTTAGCAGGGGAGTAATAATAATCTAAATAAACTAAAATTCATATTAAAATATGTACCATTTGTACAGTGAAATTAGCCAAATGCTTTAGACAACATCAAAACTTTTATATATTTAACATAATAAAAATTAAATATAAATGTGCTAATCTTAAAAGCTTTGCTTTATCGAGAGCGAAAGCAAAGTGTTCTAGTAATTGTGATTAAGTAAATCAATATATATTATAATAAGATAAAATTAACTTTGTTAAAAACTCCTCAAATTTAATTAAATAATTTGATGTAATAACCCATTTAATTGCATAGGAATTTATTAAATTTATTAAGTAAAGTGTAACAATAAAAATTAAATCCCCACCAATTATCTTTTTAACTTACACTTTTAATTATGACAATTAGAAAATTGAATTCAATATTACTTTAGTATTTAAAAGGAAATCAAGTCAAATCATTTATTTTATTATTTAAATCAGATTAAAGATATCTAATCTTTGATATTTTGAAATAATATTCTTTGTTTCATATTTATATTATTTAGTGATAAGACTTCATTAAAGATAAAAAATTATTGCTTTTTTGTTATTTAATATTCTAATATTAATATGCAATTTAAAAAATCAAAGCAATATAAAATTAAAGTTTTATATTTTTAAATATTATGTAATTAAAAATAGATTTTATTTCACTAAAATAAATATTTTTTCATAATTTACTTCATAAAGTCAAATAAAATGCAAGTAGTCTGTCTAAATACTAAAAATAATACCATAATTATTCAATATTTATGTTCTTGATACTAATAAAATGTATATTTCCGTGTAGAGATAATATGACCATAATTAAGCCATATTAAAAATTATTAAAAACTGGCCTTAAATTATAAAACTTTACCATATATAAAAATAAATGCTCTTCTTAGAAAAATTAATTCCTTTCCTTATATTAGAATTTAAATTTGAATTAAACTAAAATTATAAAAATTGATTACTATTCAATTGAAAAGCATTAATTTTAAAAAGTTAATAATAAAAAGAGTTAAATTATAGTTTGACTTAATATATATGAAGTAAAATAATTATTTTTAATGATTCAATTTATTTTATCAAAAATTATAAACAGCTAGGTAAATAATTTTAAATTAATATAAAAACAATAGCAATTTATCAAATATAAAATATTTAAAATTATATTAATTATTTTTTTTATTTAGAAATTATATCATCATTTTTATTTTCAACGAATTAGAAATTAAAATATTTGAAAATAAAGAATGATATTTCTAAATTTTTTTTTCTATCTAAATTAACTAAAATAAAATTTATAAATACAACAATTTATTGATAAATAGATAATAAATAATTAGATATAATAAATCAAGATAAAGCTTTTATTCTGTTTGTGTTTAAACCTAGTATTTTCTTATATTTATATTCTTTATAATAGTAAGATAACTCTTCTTAATATATTTTTTATTTATCCTATTTCATAGATAATTATTTTAAAAATAAAAAAATAAAAAATAAATTACATTTAACAAATTTTTAAATTTTAAGTTTTCAAAGATGTGCCTCAGAAAATTCCAATGATGTTTAGCTGCAGTAATAATTTATTTATTTTTTGCAAAGTTGCAAAAAGACAGTATTGAATCTATTTACTTTTTTGTCAGGAAATTGGCAATAACTTTCGATAAAAAGTAAAGATTTATGATAACTATAATAACAGCAGAAATAACCATAATTAAAATATTCTAACTTTAAATAGAATCTGTAATAAATACCATCAGAGTAATCGTGAATATAGATATGTCCATTTGTCTTATACAAAGTTTTTCCATAGAATTTGTTTTATAAGGACTGACTAATAAATAATATTTTCAAACAAATTAAAGATATTTATTGAATTTAAAAAGAATTTACAAATTATTTTCAAAAGTTTTTGGCAGACAAATAAAACTAATAATAATGATATCTTTTAAGTAGAATCAGCTAATTGCATTTTAAGGATAATTATCAATAAGAATATCTGTAAATGTCTAAATAAATCCCAGTAATATGCTTATTCTTATTTATAGCCTGACTAGAAGTGATTAAAAGAAAATATTACAAAAATGCTCTTCGAAAATCTTTTAATGGTAAACATTTTAATTAAAGGTATTAAAATAGCCCAAAATATTAATAGAGGTATAAATATAAAAGTAGACCATTTAGATTGACTTTCATCACATCTAATTTAAGTTGAATAGCTATTGTAAGAGTAATTATCAATTTAATTACAAACTATCTATTTTCAAATAAAAAATTAATATTTAATATTAACATACAGCTGTTTTTATTATGGTAAAATTAATATGAAAAATATTTTTTATATTGATTAAAAAAGAAAATAATATGAAAATAAATAAATAACTTACATTAGAGCTTAAAATATCAATGATTTATGGTGATTAAATAAAGTATGTTAAACTTGCTATCAAAGTAAAAAACTCCAGTTTAAATTTACTCAAAAAATTATATCTTTTTCTAATTTAGTTCCATTATTAAAAGCTTTTTTCATAATTATTTTTATTTTAGCCTTCTTAGTTATTCTATTTATGTTATTTAAACTACTAAGCTATTTTAAATCTTATGAAAATGATGCAATAACTAATAAAATAAGTTAGGACAATAATTATGAATATGTGAATATGAATATATAAAACTTTAAAGTAAGCCAAAGGAATAAAATCATTTGCAAAGCAGTCAAAAAGTCTTAATATAAATTCATTTTATCTTGATAGAAAAGTAAGTATAAATGTAAATGACCAAGGGATCTGTAGCTGCAGTTATGTTATCAAAAAAAGCAATTGAAAATAGCAAATAAAAATTTTAAAAGTTACTATCCTTTAGTTATTATTTCTTTATAGATTTTCATTTAAATTTGAAATATATTCTGACAAAACCAATAAATTACTTGAAGGGCATTTCATATGAACTTAAAATAAATTTTCCCAAATCATAAATATTATGTAAATAGTTAAAATAAAATATACTATTTAGGTTACGACTGCTACTAAAATACTCAACATTATATTTTTTTGATTACACCTTTTATAGAAAAAATTGTTATTAAATTGAGTAAAAATATTAAATTAAAATTTAATCTTACTCTTAGCAGCTGTATTATTAGTATCTCATATAAGATTTATTCCAATATTTGCCTAAATAATCACAGTCCAAACAGAAAACACCAGTGTTTCCTATTTTTATGATATAGTATTTAATTTATTGTAATAATTCAAAATTATTGTTAAAATATTTTCATAATTTTACTCAAAAATTTACAAATTTTTTAATAAAATATAAAATTTATTTCAAATTTTTTTGGTTGTAAGAAACCATGTTACAGTAAAAAAATAAAATTAAAGAAAGCTTTAGTTAATAAAATAGTGAATAAATAATACCTTCTACGCAGTAGTAAATATTCTAATTACCAGATCTTTAAGTATTAAGGAGAGAACTATCTCTTGAAATATCTCCAACACAGTTTTAAGGCCAATCACTACAAAATTTAATAACATCTGTATTATTATTTAGCCTATAATATCCATCTGGTAAGCCTATATTGTTTAATGAGCATTAAAAGTTATTAGATTAACATTTTTAGCAGATAGATTATCCAGGCTTAATAGAATAAGTTTAATATTAGCATGCTTCGCAGGAATCGTATGTATTATTAATTTAATTACTTTTATATCCTGCTTTACATTCATTTATTATTTGTATTTAAAATTGAAATGTTATATTCTTTAAGATTTAAGATATAATTCCTTATTTATAAATAGCTTACTTGACTTAATCACAATATAAACTGATTCTGAATTTTTAACTGAATTTACCATATATTTCAAGATTACTCAAATCAAAAAGATTGTCTTTAAATGTAATTTTATTATTCCTTAGAATATAGTTATTATTTTGGCTACTACTTATGATATTAGCATATAAAGTTATATTATCACTAGACATAGTTTTATAAATTTGATTTTTGTTACTGCTCATTAGAAACACTGTAAAAAAGCCCTATTGTTAATAAATATTATTATTAAATTAAATATAACTGGTTAGCAAATTAAAAAAATATAACAACATGCTAACAAAATTACCTTAACTTATCCAGATGATGGAATTATTACAGTATCGTTTTATTTTACTAATACGTTATTGTAGTAAACTTAATAAGACGAAGGAAAACTTGAAATGTCAGATCCAAAATTATACGCTTTGTTACCTAATATGAAACTATTCTGAGTCTATAGTAGGTTGAAATAAGAATAATATCCTCCTCCTCCAAAGTGTGCTATGTTGTAAATGATGTAAGTATTTTACAAATTAATATTGAATAATTGATAGTAATTTAACAGTATTTCATCAGTTAATAGACTTATCTATAAATCATTGTAAATTCCTCCACCTAAATTGCCCGCAGTATTCTAATTAATTGTAGTGTTTTAGATAATCATTTCAACGTTCTTAGCATATATTGCCCCTCCATTACCAAGAGAAGTGTTATTCTGGAATTAGTTTAAAAACATTTGAACAATTTTTACAGGATTATATTCATTGCTTAATAACCTACTGGTTAAACCTTATATTGGTATAGATGATTATAAAAATACTCCTCCTCCATTTTGACAAATATTATTCTTAAAGACAGAATTTTAAATATATGCTGCTCCACTGATTTCAAGATTTAAATTACCATATGCACACCCTTAACAACTAAGACTGTCTAAAACTGTGTTAGAAATATCAATTGAATTTGCTTTAAGCTTGATCAATTATTATTTTTCAAGCAAAGACTCTATTTAAAAAAATCTATTATTTTCAAGAGCAATCTAATTTGCCTCTATGTGGATTAATTCATAATCAGTTGTTGTCATTAAATATTATGAAAAAGTATTTAAGTAAGAGTATGTGTTAATAACTTAAATTGGGATCGGTAAGCTGATCTATTAAGAGATTAAATTTTAGTCTAAAAAAGAAAATGTTTACTAAAACTGTAGATTAGTAATAGTCACTTATTCACCTTAGCTAATATAGATATAGAAGTGCTTCTGATTTTTTATATAAGTAGAGCTTAAAGTAGTTTGCATCTATAAAATTAATTAATTCATATTTTAAATTGTATTGAATACTTAACAGTCTTGTAGCATAATCATTATTTTTTAATTAACGAACCCATCAATGTATAATATTATTGATTATAATAGAGAGAAGTTGTCTTCAAAATTAACATAATTAAAATTAACAAAAGTACTCACATTTGTTTTTTCAATATAAAATACACCTCCCTATATAGCATAATTATTCTAAAAAGAGCTATTTTCTACTGTTATGTCTAAATAATTAGCTAGATTTGTTTAAATATAAATTGCTCCACCCATACTATTTTAATTATTAATAAAGGCTTCATTACTTTAAAATGAGCTTTTTCTGATTAATAGTTAACCAAGTCCAGTTAAACAAATGTATAATGCTCCTCCATTTATTGCTTTTTACCCACTGAAAGATGAATCTATAATTTATATTTAATCTGCTTGAATATAAGCAAACCCTCCTTATAAATCATAATTTGGAAGTTAAAATTATTGGGTAAGGAATTAAGCATTGGTAATCTAAATATCTAAAATAATAAGATATAATGAAGGAGTTGTTAATTCTGTTTAATTGTCAGTAAAATTGATATTTTCTATAGTAAGTTATCCTTTCAAACTAACTATATAAAATCCAGGACTAGTTTGAAGATATTTTACCTTATATTTTAAAAAATAATTTAAATAAAACAAGAAAGCAAATGAATGAATTGGAAAAAATGTAAATTATATATTAATAGTTAAATTAAATTACAAATGATGAAACTAAAGAAGCTAAGTAGTTTTAACTTAAATTAATATTAATAAGTTACATTCTGACCTATTCAATGTTGTTGATAATAAACATACCAACATTGTTGATAATATCACTAACACTAAACTTGTTATTTTCAGCATTCAAATCTTGAATTTTAATAACTAAACTTTGATTTTTAGCATCTTTGTTAGTAATTTTAAAAATAGTTGCTATTGATAAAGTATTAATTATTGAGAGTTTACTAATTGTTAAACTCTAATTGATATTGTTTATTTCAAATTAATCACACAAAAGCACTTGTATGCCAGTCACAAATCCGTCACTTAAAAATAAACTTTGAGTGTTTCTTATAGTTAATATTTTCGAAAAGTAAGAATTATTAATAGTGAATTTGCTTAAAGTAAAGGATATAGCTTACTAAATGTTTATAAATACACTATTTATATTTGTAAAAAAAATATTATCTACTTTCACGTTCAAAAGATTTATTTTTATTTAGTCAACAAGAGTTTAGCTATTTCCAATCAGCTTGAAAAGTAATCCACTGCTTGAGCTAATTAAATTTTATTACACAGTAATATCGCTTAAAAAGAAGTTGAATTAATCAGTATAAACTATTTTAGGTTATTAATACACCTCAAATAATGTGTAGTTAATAAAAGTGTTATTATTGATTATTAGTTAAGATAGCTGAAGTAAATTCTGCTAAAAGAGTGAATATTGCTATTAGCATGTAAAATTATTAAATAATAAAGTTAAATTATTTATTTAATTAATAACAAAGTAATTATATGAAATTATTTAGCTATTTTAACCAATTTGATTATTCTAAATAGATACATCATTCCAATTAGAATATGTACTTTGTTTGGCTTAATTTGATTATATATTCAAAAATAGAGATCTATTTGAAAAGTTGCTACTTTGAATTAATAGTTTTTAAAACTCAATATAAAGATTCCCTGCAAAAAGTTAAACAAGAGACCCTTAGTTAAAGTTCATCTAAATTAAAAAAAAAAAATTTATTTCTTTAGTTTTATATCAAAAATAAAATTGTAATTGTTTAAATATTTTCTTGTTCTGTCTTAAATTTTAGGAAAGATAAATAAATAAATTACATTTATGAGACTAGTATTATGAACAATAAATAACATCCTTGGATTTTAAAACTATTGAGTAAAGATCAAATTAAAGAAATTCTGCTGATTTACTTAAAACCCTTGAATATTAACATTTTAGAGAGAAAAGGAATCCATTATATTATCAAATTCAAATATAAAATTATTTGGAATTTAATATTAATTTAGTATACTAACATCAGTAAAATTAACGCTTTTTAATAAAGAATTGCTGATTTAAAATCCAAATTTCTAATTGCTAAAATATGAATTTTGGCTAGTAGTAAGCATTTAAAGATTTTAAAAAGTAACATGAGTAAATCCTGATATTTATATAGGCTGACTTGATTCTAATGTTGTCTAAGATTAAGCTTTGTTTGTTATAGTTAAAGAAAATCTTTGCAGTCCAAAAATATACTATGCAATACTAGTTTTAATTTATATGTTTTAAAATAACCTACAGTCATTTTGATTAATTATTAATTCTACATCAATAAATTCAACTGAGATTTCATTATAAAACACCAAATATTTTGTTAAATCTTATTAATTAATTATCAATTTATCCCAGTTTATTTCAGAAGATCTTTGAATATTTAATGGATTTCCTATAGTTCCTTCTCCAATACTATCTGAATTAGAACCACAAACCCCGTAAATTTATCGTTTTACTGTTTAATAAGTGCAGCCTTGGTCTGAATTCAAACATAACAAGCATTTTTGTCTTTTGCTATCATATACCCATTTATAGTTGCTTCTGTCACTTATAGGAATTATTTAAGGAATAGGCAAATTATCTTTACATTTTTTACACAATGAACTGTAAATATTAAATGGATTATCCTTTGTTTCTCCAACTTTCTCACAGACTTAGCACCTTTTATTACACAAAAAATAGAAAAATTCAATCTTTTTCTTAAAAAAAAACAATATCTTTTTTCAACAAAGAATTAGATTGTCCAAAAAATTAAAATTATCTATAAAATGTTAAATACTGTAAATTCTTATTAATTAAGATTCAATTTAAAAATTTTATTTATTGCTAGAAATTCAAAAAGATGAGAATGATTTATAGATATAAAAAATTCAAAAGTTTGCCTTATTTATTTAAATTAAAGTAAATATTTTTTAGAATGAACTTTTATTCAATGATAAATGTTAAAATATTTATTGATTTACGGGTAGGGACATATGTGACAGGCAGAGTGATTTTGGTCAAAATTAAGCATACTATTAATGTCTATAATACTATTATTGTCAGCATTCAATAGATGAAACAAACTAATATAGCCAATAATATTGGTAATATGCGACATTAAATATTACTAATTGCATTATAGACACTTTAAAATTTAATTTTTGTAGAGCTGGCAAGATTAGCAAGTTGGATCACACTGTAGTTAAATGCATTTATAATCTTTATAGTAGTAACCATCTTAGCACTATGTACAAAATAAGTATGCTTTATTATCATTAATTAGATTTTAACGAAACTTTAAAGAATAAAATGGCTAGTTAAATGTAAATTGGTCACTATAATTTATGATTCCATCACCTATTAAAAAAATATAAAAATATGTTTGGTAACTTCATAATTTGATTTAAAATATACTATAAAAGCATTATGTACAACCAGTTGGACAGGGAAGGCATCCTTAGAGTGTTATTACATAATTATCTTGGCATTTAGTGCATTAATAAATCTTATAATTGGTGTCTTAATCTATATATGAATAGCAACTTATACAGTTTTATATCTAATAAAATATATGAATAAATTTGTTGATAGAGGAAGAATTACAAAATTTTACATTTTAAGTGCATAAAACTGCTATTTAATTAATTGAATCTATATATTGAGTTTATTAGTTATATTAGCACATATTCGTACTGCATTGATAACAGAAAATTGGATTTGAATTGTAAGTGTCTTAAAATAAAAGACTCTAGCATTTAGAAGTAAAAACATATAAATTTATGTTAACTGTAGTACTTACACAATAACTGTAATAATAAGATAAATTAAAACATGTGTCTCTACTTCTTAAGCATTATTAATTTTAGACATTAAAGTAAGGTTAAATGCATTAGTAGCAGTAAGGAGCAACATTATTATTAAGCTTCCAAGAATTTGAACTCAGTATATATGGAAAGCCAGCCTATACTACATTATATTCGATTTAGCAATTTGAAATTGTTGTTTTTTAACAAGTCACATCTAAATATTTAAAAATTACTTTATTTAATTTCATTTAATTTTTATTTTTTACCATCAAAAAACTTTAATGAAGTGTTCAAGCACTCTATGCATTTATAAATTAAAGTCGCTATAGACAAGAAATTTGGATCAAAGTTTAATTAATTAGAGTGATTATAATTAGGCATTCCTTTTTAATTAATTAAAAATATCTCTTTAAAACATTAATTAAACATTAAATATTAATTTAAAGCTTCTTCAAAAATTTAGAAAATTGAATACTTTTTGAGAAAATATTCTTAATAATTTATTGGTTTATTTTTTTTAATTTCTGAATTTTAATCTTTAATTTATTTTAAAACTTTTAATGAAAACAGATAAGAAATAATATTAATTTTTAATTTAAGCAATCTAAATTTTTTATATATTACCTGTATAGCACTGTTTACAATTTTAACCACAAGGATCACATCCTTGGTAAGTAGATTACACTGTAAAGCCTTATTGACACTGAGTACATCTTAAAGAATATTCTTCAGAAGATAGTTATGATAAGAATTAAGAGCTATATTAGTCCTATAACTCACTCCAATTAATACTTTGCTAATTATAAAATCCTCCAAAAACACAATCCAAACAATTTGTAGGGCATTAAAAACACTTACCACTATAATGCAAAGAATAACCTTGATTACATTTTAAACATTAATGCTATTAGGAAATTTAATTATAAAAGCATTAGTTGCATTAACTGTCACCTGTAAATAATTAAAAATAATAAAAATTTTTAATATTTAATTACTTCAAGTTTCAACTAAATCTTCCTTATACTTAATAAGAAAAAAAAAAAGACATTTTTTACAAGCCATAATGGAAAAAAAAAAAATTTAAGAAAAAAATGCCTTAATTAATGAGCATTTACAGTATAATGATTTAAGAAATTTCTATTTAAATATTAACCATTATAATTAATAACTTCTTAAATGTTTTCATTAATATGATTAATGCAATTTTGAACAAATTATTATGGATATTTTTCCCAAATTGATTCAATAACTCAAATCAGTTAACCTCTATTATTTATAGGTTTAATATTTTTTTACATTTAAAATTCCCTATTCATAAGAGCCCAGACTAATTCTATATGTTTTAAATCAGGTCTCTAAGGGCTCATTTATAATATAGTGATCTTATTGTCTGTTTTAATTATTTGGTTATTAGAATTGTGTGGCTATGGGCACCATCTTGTTAAAAATGCGATTTTTTTTTATTTAAATTTCCTTAATATAATTATTTCTCAAATGGGAGTAAATTAACCTGCAAACATTTAACATATTATTCTGGATTGAAAGATTTTTCATGAAAGAATAACTCAGATTTCAAATAAGTTGATAGTTGATATTCAACCTCAAATCATTATGGAACTATTTTAATAGGATTAGTCTGTAATTTTTAAATTTTATGCAATATTTTCAGTAATTTATTTGATTATTAAAACAGTAATATTAAAAGAGAAACTGAGAGCATATAAGAAATTCTCAAATAAACTCAATGATTTTATAAATAATAATAAAAAAATTTTTTTATTTGTATTTAAAAATGAAAAATAATTTTGAGGTTTATTTTTTTTAAGTTTTTGTTATATTTTTTAGTTAATAAAATAAATGTGAAGATTTAATTAAAGCACAGTTTGGAAAATAATTTACATTAAGTATCTTAGAAATATTAAAAGAATCCATAAGTTAAGACTGTGCTTTAGGATATTTAATAATAAATATTGACTTATTTTAAAAATTCTAAGCTAACTATTTAATTATCTGTATTTAATTCGAATTAGATGAAATTCTAGCAGTTAATTAAAGAATTTTATAAAAGCAATCTAATAGAAATGTAGTCATAGTATTAAACTTAGTTAACAGATAAAGGAAAGCTGTATATGTCTTATCTATAATTTAAGATATAAATCTTATGTTTTAAAAGTAGTTTGTATTCATATAAATTTACATAAATCCTTTATTGATTCCATCTTATGTGCATTAAAGAAAAAGACTATTTTATTAGTAGAATTGGTTTTCATTATAGTCTAATTTATACTCAATGCTCTAAAAGTTTTTTATAGAAATGCAAATGATTTTTTAAGGATTTATTTCTATAAGATAATAGTTGAAGGAACACTTAGTGCAAACATTTTTACTTTAACAGGAAAAACAACTACGATTTATTTATTTAAATAATATTTATTTGTATTTAAATTTTTATAATTTAATAAATTAACTTACTTATATGGACATTATTAAGAATCTTCAACACCAAAGCTTTCTGAAATGTAAATTGTGTTCAAAAAAGAATAAAAGGAATTCGAATTATATTAGTTTTCCTATTATTCTTCTAAATTATAACATTTTCCATTTCCTGGCTAAATAAAGTTAATTGGGCAAGATTAACAAAATTAAGAACTTTTTGAGAGGTTTTGGCACATCCTCAAAGTATTTGTGCATTGTATAGGATAGGAAGGGTTAACCAAAATTTAGTTTAAATATTAATTTGTGTCAATAATTTAGCAAGGAACATCAGGTCTCTATTTAATTATGCACTAATTAGACAGTAACTATAAATTTATCATTTCAACACATGTTTCTTTAATAATATATGTAATATATAAATAAATAAATATTATTTTAAAAAATATTTTACACTAGCTATTATTTTTGCATGTTTAGTCAGGGCATGACTTACAGTTACTTTACTTATATGATTAGCAATATCCTGTTTATTTAATAGTTAATAACTTGAATTTAAAAAATTTTTTCCTTAGGAAAGATTATATTCTCTTTAAGACACATGAAATGTTGTAATTAATAATTTATATTTTAATTTAAAAATAAAATAATTTACCATATTAGTTTATACAAAATTAATTTTCTATTGAGATTTGAATACATTAATTATATTAATTTAAACAGCTTGAAGGATCGCATTAATAGCAAGGGATATTTAAAGGGTTATTATTTATGATTATGCAAGTAGTATCATAATATTAGCAAATACCTGGCTACATTTGAACACAATATAATGTCACAGGATCTTTACAATACTATCCATAGGCGCATGTTGACTATTTTACATTTAATTAAATAAAAATATTATTTTCTTTTATAAATGGTTACTGCTGGCTAATTAGGCGAATCTATAGTAATACATTATTATGGATTACTCTTTAATATTCCTTTTTAATTTAATAAGAAAATTAGATTTTAAATTATGATGGGAAATACAATTAAAAAATGAACAAAAGCCCTTTCAATTGTTATTTATTTTCTCCTATTAAATAAACGATGATTATTTTTCTTTGATTTACAGAATTTATAATTAAAAGTTATGGCTACAATATAATTTTAATTTATTACACAATAAATATTAAATTCAAGCTTAAATTTTATTCCTTTCAAAGTCTAACAATTCTTTCATAAAAACTTAATTAATGCGAGAATAATTAATTAAAGGGAAATTTGATTTAGAAAATAATGATAAGAAATTTAATGAAATACCAATAACATTATTGTATTGATCTACTTTAATGCAATAGGCAGAATCTGTTCCAATATTCATTATACAATACCTAATTTTTTTTACAAACCGAACGAAAATATACTATTTATTATGAAATAATTTTAAAAATTTACTAATTTTCACATTCAATAGCTGTTATTTATTTTTCTTTTAAGCAATTGTAGTTTTTATCTCTTCCAACATATTAGTTATTATATTTTTGACAATAATTATTGATTATGCAATAACCTGAGGAACATTTAATCGCCTACATTTAATATTGTTGTAAACAGTTTCCATCCATATCTGCTCCATACATTTACACCAAACTTTATGAAGAACAACCAGTGCCACTAACATCATTTAAAAAATAGCATTAGTTATTTTCAAAACATATTTCTAGACTAAATTAGCAATCTATTAACTAAGGAATAGGATAGTTAGTACATTATAAACTAGTTACGCATTTTTAATTTTCATCCTTACCTAAATATATGCCTGAAATGGGTACACATTAGTTATTATAAATGCAAAAACCTTTCGTACATTAAATTAAAGTTTCACTACCTCCATAGTCAGAGCATCTATCAGTATAATAGATCTTACCTCTGTATCCATCTTAATTACTAAGTGGAACACAATTATAATTTTCATTCAAACAGTAATTATATGCGCAGTTAACTGAGTTTTCGGCTTATTATTAAATTGATTAACAAAAATCATTACTAGTATTTTTAGCAATTTGCTATTCTATGTTTGGATTTAGCTAAACACAAAAAGAACCTTAAGAATTCTATATGATGCAATATTCATATTTACATCTATTGAATTAAAGCAAGAAGTTTAATTTTGATAAATTTAAATGAAATGTATTGAAAATTAAATTCTATTTGTTAGTTTTTTATACATCTAATATTATTTAATAATCCTAATAAAGATTAAAATTGGAATATGATTTCTAGTTTTTAATGTAATTCCTCAACATCTTAATGGTTAATCTTCAAAAATGTTATAGCGAAAATTGAGATCAAGTTTAAAAAATGCTTCTGTTGGCCATTATAAAAAAATTCCTTATTTAATTAGGATTGATAGTAGATATGCAAAAATAAAATTAAATCTTTAAAAGTGATTTTGGTTAACATTATTTAATTCAAAAAATAAAATGGTTGAGCTATTTATTCAAACCTTCAATTTAATAACTAAAATAATTAATTGAAAACTAATAAAAAAGTTTATTACCTACTAGCATGATTTGAATCAGGAAGCAAACAATTAAAATTAGAATCTGAGCCAACAATAAAAGTACTTTTATCCATATTTTAGCAACTGTATCCATTAAAATCAAATAGTATACAATATTTTGGTTTACAGTATATTAATTGATCAGTAGTATAGCCATTAAAATAACAGTTGTTTTTAATTGTTTTCCCCTTTTTATAAAAAATAGCAACAAATTAATAATAAAATGGCTTTAAAAATTTATTTTAAAAAATCTTTACAATAATATTAGGATCTTATGTAATTAAAGTGCATATCTATTAACTATTACTTAACTAATATTAACAAACTCCTTCAATATAGCTATAACAGTTAATATTTGTTTATTAATAGAACTAGCAAAAATTTGTTGCGCTAACACCTATAAAATTACTTAATGATGTTATGTCATAGCAATTATTTTAAATTAAATTGAATTATTATAAGCAAAAACCTTAAGAGCACTTAACACAATTTATATTAGGTTAACAATTTCTGTTTTCATCCTAGCAATTTTTGTTCAGAAAATCAATATAATTCATTTATTTATATTAAGTAACTTATGTCAATTCTCCCTCATTAGTAATGTCTACTATTTAGGAAATAGTTTTATTTTATATACAGTCATCTCTACTAGAAAAAGCATGATATTGATTGAAGTAGCTAACTATTTTAAAAAATAATTTTAGTAAAACATTTAAATATCAATCTTACCATCAAAGAGATCGCCATAGTTAAAGAATACAATAATTCCACTACAATAGAATCCATGATCTAAATCTGTTTATGAACAGTCAGAAGAATTAATAAATATAACAGCTGTATTTGTATTTTCATTTAGAAATTTAAACAACCCTGTATAATCAAAACCATTATAATAGGTATTATTATAAATAGTAGATAAGGATAACTTAAATATATCAAGATAAAAGATAAACCTCAACAAAAATAATCTATTAAAAATGCTTTATCTCATAATTTTCTTACTTAATATTTTTGTTACTAATTTAGAATGTAGCTAATTTTTTAATTTATTAATTATTTATTAGTTTTATTTATTATAAAATTGATATCTTTAAATAAATTCTCCCTTCTCTTAAAACCTCTAATATCTTTTAAATTAATATCAAAATAAAAATATAGTTAGAAGGGGAGTAATAATATCTAAATAAACTAAAATTCATTTTAAAAATAATATGTACCGTTCTTTCAAATACTTTAAAGAACATAAAAACTTTAATATATTTAACATCATAAAAAATTCAAAGTAAATGTACTTATCCTAAAAGTATTATTTTATCTCACGCGAAAATAGAGTATTTTTGTAATTGTGATTTAGTAAATCAAAATATATTATTACAAGAAAAAATAAACAAGTAAAAACACCACAAATTTATTTAAATAATGTGATGTAATAATTCATTAAATTGGATAAGAATTTATTATATTAATTAATTAAAGTGTAAGAATAAAAATATAAATCTCCACAAATTAATATCTTTTTAACTTACACTTTTAATTAAATTAATTAAAAAAATTAATTTAATATTACTTTATATTTAAAACGAAATCAAATAAAATCATTTACATATTTTATTATTTAAATTAGATTAAAGTTATCAAATCAATCTTTGATATTTTAAAATAATATTTTTGGATTCATATTTATACTATCTAGTAATAAGAATTCAATAAAGATAAAACTTATTTGCTTTTTTATCATTCTATACTCGAATATTATAATTAAAAAAACATAAAAAATAAAAAGTATTTTATTTTTAAATATCATTTTTCTAAATAAATAGATTTAATATCAATAAAGGAAATATTTTTTAATAATTTACTTCATAAAATCAAAATAAATAAATAAACGCAAGTAGTCTAAATACTAAAAATAATACCATAATTATTAAATATCTATGTTCTTTAAACTAATAAAATTCCTGTTTCTGTGCAAAGAAAATACTGTTAACCAGTTTTATTTTTATGCGTAAAATGGTCTTATAGTAGTCAGGTTTAATAATATATTTTTTTATAAATAATATAAATAAGAGATTTGCTAAAAAAAATAGAGTATTGTTTTTTATGTGAGGTAATTAGATAATAGGTAATGAATTAATAGTTTAAGTAATAATTTTTTATAACATTTTAATATGAAACCTTAAAAATATACAATAAAATATTATTATTCTTTCTTAAAATTGATGTAATAAGATTGATTAGCTCAAAAATAAATTTCTTTGGAAATTAATTTTTTTATTTTATCTATTTAACTGATAAATTTAATTTTATGTGTTTCATCTATTAGATTTCCGCTTTTATTAATAATAAAATAATATCAATAATCAAAATACTTAAATAAATAAATAAAAGTAATTAAATAAATTTCTCTTTAGATTAAAATAATAATAAAATATTTAATTTTTTAACTTTTTAATAGTTAAATTATTTAAATTTTTACTAAAAAAATAGCTTTAAAGATATAATTTTTGAGTATTTTGCTAATAGAAAGCCCAATATTGATATTGAATCTTAACTCAATTTGTTTCTCCTAAAAATATTTAAAAATATAAAAAATAGAAATAAAAGAAAAAGCATTAAAATTTTTATATTTTTTATTTTATTTAATTTCTTTTTTTTCAGCAAATCATTATTAGTTAAATTTAAGATTAATAATTTAAGCAAAGATATATTTTTACTCAAGATTGAGGGTTAAATTTTTTAGACTAGGACAGTTTGCTAAGCCATAAGCTAAATCTTTAACTCCAGTTGATTCAATTTTATTAAAACTTTTAATTTTTATGATAATTTAATCTTAAAAATGAGAATTAAAAATTTTTAAAATTAATATTTGAATTAAGGTTTAATTTACTCAAGTCGAAGTGTTAAATTTAGGATTTTAGAGTATTTTTAAATAGCAGAGCCTATAGCTGATGCTCCAGATGATCCAATTTCATTCTTCCTATAATATATTTTAATTAGAGAGGATAATAATTAACAATAAATCTAAAAAATTTTAATGACTTTAAAAGAGAAATAATTTCAATTAATAATAAATAATAAAATTGCTTGTTTTTATATTTTTCATAAAATTAAAAATTAACAAATTATTTAAATAATAAAAATAAAAAAATATGCTTTACTAAAGATTGAGTTTCAAATATAAAAGATCTGGACAATTTGCTAAAGAAGAAATTAAACCAGATAAACCTTAATCTCCAATACAATTATCTCTTTTATAAATAAATTAATAAATATTTTTAAAATTTTTAGCAGGAATAAATTGAATAAATATATTTTGAAATTTGTTATCTACAAATTCATAGAATCCTTATTAAGCTATGAATATGAAATTTATATTAAAATCATCAATTAAAGTACTCAATAAATAAGGCTAGGTAAGAGAGATGAATACATTTTTCTAAAGCAGAACCTAAAGCAATAGCTCCTTGGACTTCAATAAAATTTTTGCTGAATGAAAAAAATATTTTTTATTAAAACAAATAATATTAAATTCAAAATAATTTTTATTTAAAAAAAAGTTAAATTAGAAAAGCTAATATATTTATTTTAAATATTGAAAAAAATAAATTATTTTACTAAATTTAGAGAGTCAATTTAGTAAGTTTAGGACAATTAGAAATACCATTACTTAAACCTGATGCTCCTTGTGTTCCAAGTAAATTTCCTCTTTTAAATTCAAAAAAATTAAATTAAAGATAAGAATCAAATTTTTAAATTTAGATATGCACTTTTTGCAAAAAATAAAAAATTTAAATGAAACAAGTCATAAAAAAAAACTTAATAAGTTAAAATTAAAAAAGAAAAAAGTATTTTTTTTAATAAATTTAATAAAATTAATAAAATGCTTAAAAATTATTTTATCTGAATAACTAAGTAAATAAAAATTATTGAAAATAACTAAGTAAAATACTCCAGGCAAAGTATAATGGTTGTGAGATTTTAGCAGTTTGATAAATAAGATCCTATGTTAGATACCCCTTAAGACCCAATTTTGCAATCCCTTTTAAAAGAAAAAATAAATTTATTGTTTTCAATAATTATTAATGAAATAAATTTAGAATAAATAATTAAAATAAAATTTTCACTCTAATTTAAGAATTAAATTTGAGAGCTTTTTGCAGTTTACTAAATCAACAACTAAGTTAGAGGCTCCTTCATCGTCGAATTAGTTTCCACTTTAAAATAATTTAATCAATTCTACTTAAGGTTTATATCTGAAAGAGTAAATATATTTATTTACACAAATAAATATAGGAAAAAATATAAATTTTAAAAAATTGAATAATTAGTTGTTTATATAAAAACCATTTTTTTACATTAAATTAAGTTCTAAACTTTGGAGATTATGACATTTAGATATTGAAGAACCTAAAATTTTACAACCCTTTTTTGTAAAATTGTTCCATCTATTTCATTCAATAAATAAATAATAAAATGTTATTTTATTTATAAGGTTAAAATTAAATTCATCATAATTTTATTTTTCATAATAAAGTTATTAGTTTCTTAATTTTTAACTCTTTTAGAGAGGTAAATAGGTAGGTAGGTCATCAAAAACATAATTTATAATTATGTTAAATGTTTTTATTTTTTCAGAAATATTGAAAATAAAATTAAAAAAAAATATTTTTATATAACTACCACCTTAATTCTTCAAAATTAATTTTTTAATAAATATATTTATTTACTCTAAGTAGATTACTAAACTTTATAGATTACTAAGGTTAGCCAAAGCAGTAGCTAAGGAGGAAACACCTTTATCCCCTATGTTATGAGAACTATAATAATTTATAAATTAAAAAATATTTATATCAAAAAATTAATATGAAAAATCTGTGTTAACTTAAGCCATAATTTCAAAGCCTGAAGATCAATACATTTAGTCAAAGCAGAACTCAAAGCTTAAACACCTTTATCACCAATTTCATTTTCATTATCACTAAAATTTAGGAATATTTAAATGTGTAACATTAATAATAAAATTATTTATATTTAATATATAAAAAATTAAAAGCTTCATTAAATTAAATAATTTTTTACTATAGATTAATGTGAAGACCTGTATGGTTTTACAAAGTAGAACAAAGAAACTTTTTTTATGATAAAAATAAAATATGCTATTATTGTTTTAAATAGTAAAATACATCTGATAAGTCTTAATAGATGTTATACTCTAAATTCATTTTTATTATTTTTGTTAATGTTTTACAAATTTATTTTTACTATCAATATTTTTTTATGTTTATAAATAGTAATAAATATTTTGTTTAAACATAAAAATATAAATAGATTATGAACCATATATTAAATAAATAAACAAAGTATATTATTTTTATATAAGTTTAATGCAGTAAGTTATAACTTTTTTATCTGATTGTAGAAGTCTTGAAAAAAATATTTTTTATTAAAATATCACAAAAATTAAAATAAAAAGTAAAATTTAATTTATCCCTTAGATTTTACTTAAATCATGGTATCTAATTAATTAATCATGATAAATTAAAAAAGTATGGAAATATAATTGATGAATGATAGTTAAGATTAAAATATAACTGGCATATAAAAGCTTAGCATTTATATAATTTAATAATATAAAATATAACACTATAAGTTTCAAATTATTTGATCATTTTTGGAGAAACCGGCTAGTTTGCTTAAGAGGATTTAATTTATTTAAGCAAATTTAATTTTTTAATTTTTTATAAATAATTTATTTACTTACAAAAATATGAATGATATTAATAAATATAAAATCAATAATAAAATCTATTTATCTATCTATTTATATTTTAGGTTAAAAACACTTTTTCAAAATATTAAATAATAAAATAAATAATATTATTCAAACATTTTATATTTATTCATCCTTTTTCACCTGATTTTTTGATAGAATTTAAAGACAACTAATCTTTTTAATTTAAGATACTTGCTTAATACTTTGAATTTTTATGATTCATTCATTTTGCTAAGCCTTTTATAATAAATTTGTGTAAATTTTAAATAAATATCAAAATAGAATAAACTTTTAAATGAAAAATTATTCTTTAAGTTAATAAATAAAATAATATTAGTGTGGAACAAAAAAAGAAAAAAAAAATAAACCAAATAAAAGCTATCAAATAAATTCAAAAAGCTTTATTGTTTTTAATTAGTTTTTATAATTTAAAATATCACAATCCAAAACAAATAAACTGTTTTTACTCTAGATAAACTGTCAAATTTGAGAGATTAATGTAATTTGCTAAAGCAGAAGCTAAGCCTGATGCATCCATTGCATTAATTTAATTTTTACTTTTTAAATATTGAAGAAAAATATATAATTAAATAATTAATTAGAAGGAAAACATGAAGAAAACATATGAAATAATAAGATTAATTAGTTAATAATAAAAGCAAAAATTGAAAATAAAATGATGAGCTAACTTAACTAAGAAAGAATAAAATAAAAGCAAACACAATAAAAAGAAAAAGAGTTTTATTGCTTTTAATTAGTTTTATAATTAAAAATATCACAATCCAAAACAAATAAACTGTTTTTACCAAAGTTTAAGTGTCAAATTTGAGAGATTAATGCAATTTGCTAAAGCAGAACCTAAGTCTGATGCACCCATTTCACCAATTTAATTGTTACTTTTTAAATATAGATATCATTAAATAGTTAATAGAAAGGAAAAAATATGAAATAATAAGATTAATTAGTTAATAATAAAAGCAAAAGTTAATAATAAAATGATGAGCTAAATTAACAAAGAAAAAACAAAAAGCACAATAAAAAGAAAAAGAAAAATGAGCTTGATTGTTTTTAATTAGTTTTTATAATTTAAAATATCACAATCCAAAACAAATAAACTGTTTTTACCAAAGATCAAGTGTCAAATTTGAGAGATTAATGCAATTTGTTAAAGCAGAACCTAAGCCTGATGCACCCATTGCACCAATTTAATTAGACCTATTTAAATATAGATATCATTAAATAGTTAATAGAAAGGAAAAAATATGAAATAATATAATAATATTAATTAATTAATAATAAAAGCAAAAGTTGATAATAAAATGATGAGCTAAATTAACAAAGAAAAAACAAAAAGCACAATAAAAAGAAAAAGAAAAATGAGCTTTATTGTTTGTAATTAGTTTTTATAATTTAAAATATCACAATCCAAAACAAATAAATTGTTTTTACCTAAGATCAAGTGTCAAATTTGAGAGATTAATGCAATTTGCTAAAGCAGAACCTAAGCCTGATGCACCCATTGCACCAATTTAGTTGTTACTTTTTAAATATTGATATAATTAAATAGTTAATACAAGGAAAAAATGAAGAAAAAATATGAATAATATGATTAATTAGTTAATAATAAAAGCGTAAGCAGATAATAAAATGATGAGCTAAATTTACAAAGAAAGAACAATAAAAATAAAAATAAAAATGAGCTTTATTGCTTTTAATTAGTTTTTATAATTTAAAATATCACAATCCAAAACAAATAAACTGTTTTACCGAAGATCAAGTGTCAAATTTGAGAGATTAATGCAATTTACTAAAGCAGAACTTAAGCCTGATGCACCTTCATCGCCAATTTAATTTTCACTTTTTAAATATTGAAGAAAAAATATATTATTAAATAGTTAATTAGAAGGAAAAAATAAAGAAAAATATGAAATAATAAGATTAATTAATTAGTAATAAAAGCAAAAATCGATAATAAAATGATGAGCTAAATTAATAAGGAAAAGCAAAATAAAAGCAAGCACAATAAAAAGAAAAAGAAAAATGAGCTTTATTGTTTTTAATTAGTTTTTATAATTTAAAATATCACAATCCAAAACAAATAAACTGTGTTTACTTAAGTTCAAGTGTCAAATTTGAGAGATTAATGCAATTTGCTAAAGCAGAACCTAGGCCTGATGCACAAATTGCACCAATTTAATTAAAACTTTTTAAATATGAAGAAAAAATATATCATTAAATAGTTAATAAAAGGAAAAAATGAAGAAAAAATATGAAATAATAAGATTAATTAATTAATAATTAAATCAAAAGTTGAAAATAATATGATGAGCTAAATTAACAAAGAAAGAACTAAAAAAAAGTAAGCACAATAAAAAGAAAAAGAAAAAAGAGTTTTATTGTTTTTAATTAGTTTTTATAATTTAAAATAACACAATCCAAAACAAATAAACTGTGTTTACTTAAGTTCAAGTGTCAAATTTGAGAGATTAATGCAATTTGCTAAAGCAGAACTTAAGCCTAATGCACCCATTGAACCAATTTAATTGTTACTTTTTAAATATTGATATGATTAAATAGTTAATACAAGGAAAAAATGAAGAAAAAATATGAAATAATAAGATTAATTAATTAATAATAAAAGCGAAAGTTGAAATAAAATGAAGAGCTAAATTAAGAAAGAAAGAAAGAAAGAAAGAACAAAATAAAAGAAAGCACAATAAAAAGAAAAAGAAAAAGAGTTTTATTGTTTTTAATTAGTTTTATAATTAAAAATATCACAATCCAAAACAAATAAACTGTTTTTACCAAAGTTTAAGTGTCAAATTTGAGAGATTAATGCAATTTGCTAAAGCAGAACCTAAGCCTGATGCACCCACTGGACCAATTTAATTGTAACTTTTTAAATATTGAAGAAAAAATATATCATTAAATAGTTATTAGAAGGAAAAAATGAAGAAAAAATATGAATAATATGATTAATTAGTTAATAATAAAAGCGTAAGCAGATAATAAAATGATAAGCTAAATTAACAAAGAAAGAACAAAATAAAAACAACCACAATAAAAAGAAAAAGAAAAAAGAGTTCTATTGTTTTTAATTAGTTTTTATAATTAAAAATATCACAATCAAAAAAAAATAAACTTTTTTACCCTAGATAAAGTGCCAAATTTGATAGATTAATGCAATTTGCTAAAGCAGAACCTAAGCCTGATGCACCTTCATCACCAATTGTATTGGAACTTTTTAAATATTGAAGAAAAAATATATCATTAAATAGTTAAATAGAAGGAAAAAATAAAGAAAAAATAAGAAATAATAAGACTAATTAGTTAATAATAAAATCAAAAGTTGAAATAAAATGAAGAGCTAAATTAACAAAGAAAGAAAGAAAGAAAGAAAGAACAAAAAATAAGCAAGCACAATAAAAAGAAAAAGAAAAATGAGCTTTATTTTTTTAATTAGTTTTATAATTAAAAATATCACAATCCAAAACAAATAAACTGTTTTACCAAAGATCAAGTGTCAAATTTGAGAGATTAATGCAATTTGCTAAAGCAGAACCTAAGTCTGAAACACCTATTGCACCAATTTAATTGTAACTTTTTAAATATTGAAGAAAAAATATATTATAGTTATTAGAAGGAAAAAATGAAGAAAAAATATAAAATAATAAGATTAATTAGTTAATAATAAGCAAAAGTTGATAATAATATGATGAGCTAAATTAACAAAGAAAGAACTAAAAAAAAGCAAGCACAATAAAAAGAAAAAGAAAAAAGAGTTTTATTGTTTTTAATTAGTTTTTACAATTTAAAATAACACAATCCAAAACAAATAATATTTTTACCAAAGTTCAAGTGTCAAATTTGAGAGATTAATGCAATTTGCTAAAGCAGAACTTAAGCCTAATGCACCCATTGAACCAATTAAATTCCCACTTTTTAAATATTGATATGATTAAATAGTTAATATAAGGAAAAAATGAAGAAAAAATATGAAATAATAAGATTAATTAATTAATAATAAAAGCGAAAGTTGAAAATAAAATGATGAGCTAAATTAACAAAGAAAGAACAAAATAAAAACAACCACAATAAAAAGAAAAAGAAAAAAGAGTTCTATTGTTTTTAATTAGTTTTTATAATTAAAAATATCACAATCAAAAAAAAATAAACTGTTTTTACCCTAGATAAAGTGCCAAATTTGATAGATTAATGCAATTTGCTAAAGCAGAACCTAAGCCTGATGCACCTTCATCACCAATTGTATTGGAACTTTTTAAATATTGAAGAAAAAATATATCATTAAATAGTTAATTAGAAGGAAAAAATAAAGAAAAAATAAGAAATAATAAGACTAATTAGTTAATAATAAAATCAAAAGTTGAAATAAAATGAAGAGCTAAATTAACAAAGAAAGAAAGAAAGAAAGAAAGAAAGAAAGAAAGAACAAAAAATAAGCAAGCACAATAAAAAGAAAAAGAAAAATGAGCTTTATTTTTTTTAATTAGTTTTATAATTAAAAATATCACAATCCAAAACAAATAAACTGTTTTTACTCTAGATCAAGTGTCAAATTTGAGAGATTAATGCAATTTGCTAAAGCAGAACCTAAGTCTGAAACACCTATTGCACCAATTTAATTGTAACTTTTTAAATATTGAAGAAAAAATATATTATAGTTATTAGAAGGAAAAAATGAAGAAAAAATATAAAATAATAAGATTTATTAGTTAATAATAAGCAAAAGTTGATAATAATATGATGAGCTAAATTAACAAAGAAAGAACTAAAAAAAAGCAAGCACAATAAAAAGAAAAAGAAAAAAGAGTTTTATTGTTTTTAATTAGTTTTTATAATTAAAAATATCACAATCCAAAACAAATAATATTTTTACCAAAGTTTAAGTGTCAAATTTGAGAGATTAATGCAATTTGCTAAAGCAGAACCTAAGCTTGATGCACCTTCATCACCAATTTAATCTTCACTTTTTTAATATTGAAGAAAAAATATATCATTAAATAGAGTAAGTTGCCATAGAAACTTACAAAAAGAGAGTTTTTTTACCAGTTTTTACGTATAAAATTAAAATTTTAAATATTCTTTATGAATTTTTTTCCATCCTAGGTTTTCAAAATTTATTTTTTCAAAAAAAATGATATGTTTTTAGAATATAATGTATGTATATATTATTTCAAATTTTACATTTTGTGAGTTTAAAGCTTTCTAAAAACTCAAAAATAAAATGCTTTAAGCTAATTTAACTTTTTTTATTATGTTATTAAAATATATTACATTTTGCCTTTTATAAATTAAATAGGCATTTTACTCCAGTTAAATAAATTGAAAATTAAATGTAAAAAAAATATTAATAATAATAAAAGTCATTTTATAAATTATTTATACAGATCAATATGGAGAACCTAATGAGATAAAAGTGAAGAGCTTACAAACTTTTTTTATTAATTTATATAAATTGAATGGTTATTAATAAAAAAATTAATAATTACTTCTTCTAATTCGTAGTAATATTTAATCTATTATATCATTTTTTTTCTTCAAAATATTGAATAGCAATTTATGAAATTTAATTATTAATTATAAAATGCATAAAAAGAACAAATAAACATAATAATAACTAATTAATTATCAAATATTAATTTTTTAAATTTTTTTATGAAAAGATATCACAGAAAAATTAATTTAACATTCACAATTTAAATTTAATATTTGTATTTAAAACATATTTAAATATATATATAGTAGGAATTAGAGGACCAGTTATTTATTTAGTCATATTTGAAAAAAATCTAGCTAATAACCACAAAAATTTAAATAAAAAGTAAAATTTAATTACTCCCTGAGATTTTACTTAAATCATGGTATCTAATTAATTAATCATGATAAATAAAAAAATGATAGAAATATAATTGATGAATAATATTTAAGATTAAAATATAACTGGCATATAAAAGCTTAGCATCTATATAATTTAATAATATATAATATAACACTATAAGTTTCAAATTATTTGATCATTTTTGGAGAAACCGGGGAGTTTGCTTAAGAGGAAATTTATTTAAGTTAATTAAATTTTTTAATTTTTTATAAATAATTTATTTACTTACAGAAATATGAGTGATATCAATAAATATAAAATCAATAATAAAATCTATATATCTATCTATTTAAATTTTAGGTTAAAAACACTTTTTCAAAATATTAAATAATAAAATATATAATATTATTCAAACATTTTATATTTATTCATCCTTTTTTCACCAGTTGTTTATCATTAGAAATTAAAGACAACTAATCTTTTTGATTTAAGATACTTGCTTAATATTTTGAATTTTTATGATTCATTCATTTTGCTAAAACTTTTATAATAAATTTGTGTAAATTTTTTAATAAACTTATAAATTAAAAATTATTCTTTTAATAAATAAAATAATATTAGTTTGGAATGAAAAAGAAAAAAAAATAAATCAAATAAAAGCTATCAAATAAATTCAAAAAGCTTTATTGTTTTTAATTAGTTTTTATAATTTAAAATATCACAATCCAAAACAAATAAACTGTTTTTACCGAAGATCAAGTGTCAAATTTGAGAGATTAATGCAATTTGCTAAAGCAGTACCTAAGCCTGATGCATCTTCATCATCAATTTAATTTTCACTTTTTAAATATTGAAGAAAGAATATATCATTAAATAGCTAATTAGAAGGAAAAAATGAAGAAAAAATATGAAATAATAAGATTAATTAGTTAATAATAAAAACAAAAGTTAAAAATAAAATGATGAACTAAATTAAAAAAGAAAGAACAAAAAAAAGCAAGCACAATAAAAAGAAAAAGAAAAAAGAGCTTTACTGTTTTTAATTAGTTTTTATAATTTAAAATAACACAATCCAAAACAAAAAAAATGTTTTTACTCTAGATTAAGTGTCAAATTTGAGAGATTAATGCAATTTGCTAAAGCAGAACCTAAGCCTGATGCACCCATTGCATCAATTTAATTGTTTCTTTTTAAATATTGAACAAAAAATATATCATTAAATAGTTAATTAGAAGGAAAAAATTAAGAAAAAATATGAAATAATAAGATTAATTAATTATTAATAAAAGCAAAAGTTCAAAATAAAATGATGAAATAAATTAAAAAAAAAAGAACAAAAAAAAGCAAGCACAATAAAAAGAAAAAGAAAAAAGAGCTTTATTGTTTTTAATTAGTTTTTATAATTAAAAATTTCACAATCCAAAACAAATAAACTGTTTTTACTAAAGGTAAAGTGTCAAATTTGAGAGATTAATGCAATTTGCCAAAGCTGAACCTAAGCCTGATGCACCCATTGCACCAATTAAATTCCCACTTTTTAAATATTGAAGAAAAAATATACCATTAAATAGTTAATTAGAAAGAAAAAATGAAGAAATAATATGAAATAATAAGATTAATTAATAAATAATAAAAGGACAAATTAAAAATAAAACAATGAGCTAAATTAACAAAGAAAGAGCAAAAACAAAGCAAGCACAATAAAAAGAAAAAGAAAAAAGAGCTTTATTGTTTTTAATTAATTTTTATAATTTAAAATATCACAATCCAAAACAAATAAACTGTTTTACCGAAGATCAAGTGTCAAATTTGAGAGATTAATGCAATTTGCTAAAGCAGAACTTAAGCCTGATGCACCTTCATCACCAATTTTATTGTTACTATTTAAATATTGAAGAAAAAATATATCATTAAATAGTTAATTAGAAGGAAAAAATGTAGAAAAAATATGAAATAATAAGATTAATTAGTTAATAATAAAAACAAAAGTTAAAAATAAAATGATGAACTAAATTAAAAAAGAAAGAACAAAAAAAAGCAAGCACAATAAAAAGAAAAAGAAAAAAGAGCTTTACTGTTTTTAATTAGTTTTTATAATTTAAAATAACACAATCCAAAACAAATAAACTGTTTTTACCCAAGGTGAAGTGTCAAATTTGAGAGATTAATGCAATTTGCTAAAGCAGAACCTAAGCCTGATACACCCATTGCACCAATTTAATTGTTTCTTTTTAAATATTGAAGAAAAGATATATTATAAATAGTTAATTAGAAGGAAAAAATGAAGAAAAAATATGAAGTAATAAGATTAATTAATTAATAATAAAAGCAAAAGCTTAAAATAAAATGATGAGCTAAATTAACAATGAAAGAACAAAAAAAAGCTAACAGAATTAAAAGAAAAAAGAGCTTTATTGTTTTTAATTAATTTTTATAATTTAAAATATCACAATCCAAAACAAATAAACTGTTTTACCGAAGATCAAGTGTCAAATTTGAGAGATTAATGCAATTTGATAAAGCAGAACCTAAACCTGATGCACCCATTGCACCAATTTTATTCCAACTTTTTAAATATTGAAGAAAAAATATATCATTAAATAGTTAATTAGAAGGAAAAAATGAAGAAAAAATATGAAGTAATAGGATTAATTAATTGATAATAAAAGCAAAAGTTGAAAATAAAATGATGAGCTAAATTAACAAAGAAAGAACAATAAAAAGCAAACAGAATAAAAAGAAAAAAGAGCTTTATTGTTTTTAATTAGTTTTTATAAATTTAAAATTTCACAATCCAAAACAAATAAACTGTTTTACCGAAGATCAAGTGTCAAATTTGAGAGATTAATGCAATTTTCTAAAGCGGAACCTAAGCCTGATGCACCCATTGCACCAATATAATTTTAACTTTTTAAATATTGAAGAAAAAATTTATCATTAAATAGTTAATTAGTAGGAAATAACGAAGAAAAAATATGAAATAATAAGATTAATTAATTAATAATAAAAGCAAAAGTTGAAAATAAAATGATGAGCTTAAATTAACAAAGAAGGAACAAAAAAAAGCAAGCACAATAAAAAGAAAAAGAAAAAAGAGCTTTATTGTTTTAAATTAGTTTTTATAATTTAAAATATCACAATCCAAAACAAATAAACTTTTTTACCGAAGATTAAGTGTCAAATTTGAGAGATTAGTGCAATTTGCTAAAGCAGAACCTAAGCCTGATGCACCCATTGCACCAATATAATTTTCACTTTTTAAATATTGAAGAAAAGATATATCATTAAATAGTTAATTAGAAGGAAAAAATGAAGAAAAAATATGGAATATTAATAATAAAAGCAAAAGTTGAAAACAAAATGATGAGCTAAATAAACAAAGAAAGAACATATATAGTAAAATGGGGGGGTATGGTGCAAATCAAAAATTTCAAATTCTGAGCGACCTCAATTTCAAAAATAATTATGAATTTTTTTCCATCCTAGGTTTTCAAAAAAATGATATATTTTAAGAATATACGATATATATTATTTCAAATTTTACATTTTGTGAATTTAAAACTTTTTAAAAACTCAAAAATAAAGCTGCTTTAAGCTAATTTAGCTTTATTTATAATGTTATTAATATAAATTACATTTCGTCTTTTATAAATTAAATAGGCATTTTATTCTAGTTAATTAGGAGGGAAAAATGGAGAAAAAATATGAAATAATAAGTTTAATTAATAATTAATAAAATTAACAAAGAATGAAAAAATAACAAATCATAATAAAAAGAAAAAGGAAAATAAATCAAATAAATTAAAAGATTTTTAATGTTTTAAATTAACTTTTATAATTAAAAATATTGCAATCCAAAATTAATAAACTGCTTTTATTAAGTGTAAGTTTTAATAGCAAAAAATGAAGAAAAAATATCAAATAATAAAAAATTAAAAATTGAAATGAAAATTAAGTTAAAATAGCTAAAAATTTTTGTTTTTGAAAATCAAAAATAATGATGATAATTTCTTTTATAAAAATTATTTATTTAAATAAATTGAAAATTAAATGTACAAAAATTATTAATAATAATAAAAGTAATTTTTTTAATTAATTATACTTCAGATCAATATGAAGAACCTAATGAGATAAAAGTGAAGAGTTTAAAAACTTTTTTTATTAATTTATATAAATTTAAAGGATATTAATAAAAAAATTAATAATTACTTCTTCTAATTAGTTATATTTTTTAATCTATTATATCATTTATTATTTTTTTCAAAAATATTGAATAGGAATTTATGAAATTTAATTAATTTTAAATGGATAAAAAAAACAAATAAATATAATAATTAATTAATTATCAAATATTAATTTATATATTTGGTTTTATGAAGAGATATCACAGAAAAATTAATTTAACAATTTCTATTTAAATTTAATATTTGTATTTAAAACATATACTTAAATATATAGTAGGAATTAGAGATGGCCAGTTATTTATTTAGTCATTTTTGAAAAAAATCCAGTTGTTAAGTACCAAAGTTTTTTAAAGGTCACCTTAAAAAATTTTTGTTTTTTAATCCTTTTTTGGTCACCTGTCTATATTCTGTATTTAACCACCTTTACCAAGTCACTCATTTGGCCACCCATTTAAATCTTATCTCTAAATGATTTGTTCTTTTCAATGAGATAAAAAAGGTTAAAAGTATAATTTTGAACCTTAAGTATTAAAGATTGGGAGTGTATTTAAATTATCTGAAGATCATAAACAAATTATTTTTAGATAGATTTATTGTTTTTTCTAATTAATAAACAAAAGAAAAAAAATCACTCACTAACAAACAACTTTTATTCTTACTTTTTTAATTACAAATTTTAATAATTTATTTTATTAAGAAAAAAAAAAAAAGAAACTAATTGAAAGAAAATAAAGGTAAATAAAAATAGATTTCGTTATAAAATAAAATATATTATTCAAATTAAAAAAATAATAATAATTCTTAATTGTTAAATATTATAATTATTTTTTTTATTAGATTACTAATAATGGAATAGTAACAAGACATTTAGCTTAAATATTAGGCACCTGTATACAAATTTCAAAGAATTTTTGAGTAAAACTAATAGAAACATAAGGAGAGTATGTTTGATACAAAGGATCTAATATCGATTTATAATGAGCTTCAAAAGAAAGAGATATACTTAACATCATTCATTTCATAAGGTAGTTTTGGATGTGTTTTTGAGGCTAAGTACAAAGAAGAAATAGTAGCTGTCAAATGTAGCAGAGTTAATTTAGAAAAAATCAAAGAAGAAGAAGATATCCTGATATTATTAAAGGATACTCCTTATGTTTTTAAATCTATCGAAAATTTTTTAAATGAAACAAAATCGATATACTATCAGATTACTAAAAGATATTTGTGTAAAAATTCATATTTATTTATTTCATATCTATCTTTAAAAAATATTAATTTTTAGGTAGTTTGAAAGACATAATGAAAAACTTCTTTTATTAGAAAAAAATAACACTACCACTCAACTAAATAATTGGTTTTGCTATTCAAATGTCAACAGTCTTTTAAAAAATTTAGGAAAAAAATTTAATTCATTCTGATGTTAAACCAGAGAATATCCTTTACGATAGCTAAGAAAAATGCTTTATTCTATGTAAATTAATTTTTAATGTTATTTCAAATTTTATTTAATTTTTAAACCATTTGATTAAGAAATCTTTCAAACAAACAAATAAAATATATTGTAAGTTAATTTAATCTTTCCCCCTTCTAAAAATCTGATTAAAATAGATAATAATTTAAAAGAATTATAAAAGACTTAATTGTATTCAAAATATTTATTTATTATTAAACTTTAACTAAAATAACCTAAAATTAAACAAAAAAAAATTTTATTTTTTGACTATTTTAACATTTTTTTCATTTTAAAACCTTTTGAATTGCTTAAAATTAATGAAGCATTATTTTAATTTAAACGTTTCAAAATTATTTTTTGTTTTTGTTTTTAGTTTATCTAATAATTAAATAATTTCGCAATTTTAAATTAATTAACTTGGGATATGAATTTAATATGAATTTCTAAGGTTTAATTAATCTTAAGTTAATTATTTATTTTTAGAGAATCTATTGTTTGATTAACTTAAGTTAACAGTGTGTTAAGATAAAATATAGATAGAACTTCAATAATCTTATTATAGACTTAAGCCTTTCTAAAGTAATAATATGGCTTTATTATTTTTGGAAAAGTTTTTTTTTTTAAATTATATTTTTCAGTTGTCAGAATTTTTATAATAGATTATTTTGAAAAGTGAGTGAGAATGAGTGAACTTACATATTTAATTAAAAGAGTTATTAAGCTCGATTAGCTCAGCTGGTTAGAGCATGCGGCTGTTAACCGCAAGGTCGTAGGTTCGATCCCTACATCGAGCGCTTTTTTTTTATTATAAAACTAAGTGATGTATGTTCTTTTATCAAAACTATAAATTTTATATTCTAAATAAAAATGAGTAATTTGATTGAAATATATGATTATTTTATAAATAAATTATTTTATGTATTCATTAAATAAAATTTGTTTATTTATCAATTGATTATTTGATAAAAAATATTTCGATTAGCAAGCATAATAGATACAATTATTTAATTTTATTGTTTAAAAACAAATCTTTTATTTTATAATTCTTATTTTCAATAAAAAGTATTTTTTAATATTTTATTTTTTAGATCTTTAAACTAGGAAATAAATATAAAAAAGATATTTTATAATTGAATTAATTTAATTATTTAATCTTAATTTTTAAGTGAAATTTATTTCTGTGTCTTTTTTATTATAAAAAAATTCTCAAAATCTGAAATTTCTTTCTTCCTTATTTCTATTTTTAGTTAATATAAAAAATGTACATAGAATTTTATAATTTGTTCTTTAATAATTATTTTTACTATTTTATTTAAAATAAAATTTACTTTAAATGCAAATAAACTATTTTTTCAATGAACAATTCAAATAAAGATGATAAAATTACAATGCATTTACTGAGCTTTTCTAAATAGTTATTTTTCTTTATTAATATTTTATATCATTTCTTATTTTAAATGGTTAGAAATAGAGCAATTTAAAATGATTATTTATTATCAAATAAAGCTTTTCCTTTTCATATTTAAATTATTTAATTGATATTTCAAATTATAAATAAATAAATAATCAATTAATTACTTATTTAGCTTATCCTGTGAAGTATTGCTTTTCTTCGCCAAAAAAATTGCAAACAGAAAATAATATCAAAAGTTTTTAAAAAAAATTAAATGATTAAGTTTTTTACATTATGGAAAAGTAAGCAACAGTTTAAATTTAATGCGGTTATTATGAAAGATGTCCATTAGTTTTTTATAAAAGTAATAAAAATATTTTTAGAAATTTGAAGTATTTACTTTATATTGTATCATTTAGATTATTGGCAATTATTATAAAATATGGTAAATAGATATTTATATTACTTCTTTATTCGAATCTACAAATGACTTTGAGCAAACTAACATTTGAAAATAAAAAAGTTGAATACCAATAAAATGTAGTGATAGATTAAAATTTAAATATAATCTTAAATGTTTAACTTCAACATAGATTATTAGGTAATTTTTTGTTTTGTTACTAATGCTTCCTAGCTAGATAACAAATTGATTAATTAGCTCGTTAACTAAACAATCAACTAACTAATTAATTTATAAAAATATATGTACTTTTTATTATTAAATAATAGCAAATTGAAAAAGATATAAATATATATATTTAAAATAAACAATCAATCTTATTATTTTTAACATGAATAATCCAGAGAATTTACAAAAAATTTAGAGGAAACAAAAATTTTTTCATTATTATTTAAAAATAAATAAACTGCTTAATTTTTTTTTTGGTAATTTGTCAAATTGATATTCTTAGAAAGATTAGAATCTATTATAAATGAGTAAAATAAGATAGTTAAATGATGAGAAGGAAAAACTAGATATTATTTATTTTTGTTTAAAAAGACTTTTAAATTTAATAAAAATGAAGTAAATAAGTAAATAAAATGCACATGTAAGTAGAGGTGGTATAAACATGTTTGTAATTGAAGAATATAGAATAGTGAATAAAAGTAATATCTTTAAAAAGTGAGAGATATATTATTATCATTAATATTGATTATAGTTTTTTAAAGCTAATTAATAAAAAGTCTTTTTTGATCGATGCTGTTTTTATTGATTTAAAAGGTACTCTCGGAAAGCTGTCTAAATGAAATATTTTGTTTTTTTTAAATTCCAAATCTTTTTTTCATTTAGGATAGGTCATGTGGTGGTAATCACCAGCTCTTTCGAGTTCGTGTTCTCTATACTTTTATTTTCTATTAAAAGTAGAAGTGCACATAGCTCTAGGATCATCAGGATGCATGTAACCCTAAATACCTCTCATTCTGTTGTAGGCGAAATCGTGAGGGAGCCAAGTCCAATCACCATATTGAATACCATAAATTTCTTCTAAGACAGCAGAGGCGATGTAATCTCTCATTCTCAAACGGGAGTATTCATCATTTTTCAAGGGAGTAGATATCCAGTAATAGGGTAACATGTATGTGTAGATTTCATGAATACAATAGATACCGCAGAGCAATGTGATCCATTGAGCGAAGGCACCATCGGAGTTGAGGGTGTTTTCTTAGAAATCTCTGTACATTTCATAGGTGCTGTAGAAAGGGAAACCATGAGATGAGTCAACTTTAGGATACATACCAACCCAGTTAGCAAGGTCAGGGTGATCAACAAAAGTTTCATACATTACCTGTTATCTTGCATAATAGAATCTCATGCCCCAGGTTCTTCTGGCTAATCTCAATGCATCATATCTTTCTTCACCAACAGCCTTATTGAGCATTTTGGTGAACCACCAAATACCATTTTTATGCCAGTTATTTTTCACAGCAAAAATAGTTCCGTTCATTTTTTTTGTTTGGATGGGAAAATTTTTTTTGAGATAAAGTTTAATAAGTATTATAAAAAATTGTAAAGATAGATTTTGAAAAGCTTGTTATGAACTCGACTCCTGCTGGGAAATTTTGTTTGTTCAAGTGTTATTTTTATAACTTTTATAATAAATTTAGAATTTCAATTATAATACTCTAATTACACTTTTTATTTAATCAAAATCATTTAAACACTTTTCTGATCTAATCAATTCATCGTTTTTCCTGATTTCGTAGTACTATTAAAAAACTCACTTTTCATTTGATTGTAAATTAAATTAATTAATTAATCATTATAATTATTCCAAAATTGTTCCTCAGTTCTTTATTTTTTTTATTGGATATTTCTAAACGTAAAATAATTTTTTTAAATTCTCAAAGAGGCAAAAAAAAATAAACTAACTAACGGTTAAAGTACTAAGATTAACTTTTAAATGAACAATTTTTATTTAATTTTATTTTATGGATTTTCATAGAATTTATCAAAAATCCTTTATTTTTTTCGAGATATTTTCCATTTAATTAAATTAATTAATTTTGTTATTATTTGCATTTTACATTTTTTAAGGATAAAATTTTAATTAAATATAAAAGCAAGTACTATTACTAATTTCTATTTATTCATACCTTTATCAATCATTTATTTCGGAGAACAATTAAAGTTAATGTTTATGCTATACATTTCCGCAATTACATTTCTTTAACAAATAAGTAAATCTAAATTAATCTTTCCTAATTCTTTTCAATATTTTGTAATTTTCTGAATAATTTACAAATACTAAATTAGAATTAAAAAAAAAATTATACAGAATTTTTATCTCAAGATTTTTAAATGATGGTTTCATAATGAATTTTAACTCCTTTCAAAAAATTTAAAATAGATAAATGTGTCTATCTATCTAACAATTCAAATACTCAAGCAGATATTTATTCTTAAAAATCAGATATATTTAATCAAATAAATTGAATAAGCTAAATAAGAAGAAAAGGATATTCTATATTTTATTTACTTATTCGTGTTATTATTCCTTTTAAAAAAATTTAAATCAACTAAATATTTTCTAATCCAAAAAAGTATAAAATTTAAGTTAAATCAAGATTGTTTTATTAAAAAATTATTTTACTTTATTTTTTTTTATTATTTAATACCAAAATATTTAGAATCAACCTTATCATAAGATTTAACAATCCTTAATTCTTTTTAAAAAATTTATTTTATAATAGAATAGCATTTGATATTTTTGATTTCTCTCAAAATATTTTGCAATTAACTTTAATTGATTTTAAAAATAATTGTAATAATTAGAATTATTATGCATATAAATTCTACTTTAAAAATATATTAAAAATTATTAACTCTTTGAATTATTTAAATTGATTTTTTTTAATTGTTTTTGGTATCCTACTAATAAATAAAATGTAAAATTAAATTGTTGAAATATAATTTGTTAAAAATAAATCAAATTAATTTATATAAACAGAAATAAATCAAAAGTATTTTAAATTTTGAAATAGGTAGATATTTCAATATTTATGTTTTGCTTATGTTTATTATTTCATGAAATGTTAAAAATTATAATAAAAATAATGCATAACTCAATGAATTACTTTTCAATAAAGATTTATAAACAAAATTTGCAATAGGTCGTAATTAAATGTTAATTAATTATTAGGTTTTAAATGCTAGCAATTTGACTTTGATGAATGAATGATTGACTGCTTTGGACGGACATTCAATTTTTATTTATTGTATACTGATTAATTATTTTGCAACAAATTAATTACAACGTTAACAAATTAATTTTAAATAGAAGAAAAAGAAGAAGAGAAATAATTAATTAAAGAAAGAAAGAAAGTAGAAATGATTATAGGAAAACTAAAAATTTTTTTATTTATATTTTTTTATATCTCCTTTAGTGTAAAATAGTTTATTTTAACGTTCAAATGTTAAAATATATTTTATTTTTAGGAATAATAGGATTAGCAAATAGAATTTTATTTAAATAAAGATTATAACTAGAAGCATGTCTATACATTTGATGATAATGTTCTAAAAGCCTCTCTAATTAGAGATAAAAATGAGTAAAAGAACAAAGAAAGTATTTGCGAAATTAAGAAATAGAAAATGAAATTAAAAACGCTTTTTAGCGGACTTTTTTCTCTCGAAGAAGATTAAACTAGTTAAAGCACTTCAGAAGAAAGCTAAAAAATTATATTATTCTAAAAATATAAAGATTATTAAATTGTTGTGCGAAAAAATGGCGATATATTAATATTTCAAATAGCTGGCGATAGGCTAACTCTTATTTCTTTTTCTAAAATTAATCAATTGTCTAAACCTGATACTTTAACAATATCATCAGTAATATACTATTTTCTTTCTTTCATTTTTCATTTTTCCAATTAAGTTTATTCCTTTCTAATTATTTTCATAACAAAAATAAAATATTTACAATATACTGCAAAATACTTTGTTTATTATGGCTATTTAAATTTTTTAAAGCATTCCTATTTACAAATTAAGTTTAAAAATAAATTCGTTAGTGTTTACGAAAAATGAATATAATTTTTAAATAGAAATACATTATATGATTATTTTATTTATCTGATTGTAGGTTTTTTTATATGAAGACTTCTTGTATTTTATTTGCGAAAACAAAGATTCTTATTTTTTGAAGGCTTTTTTAATAGTGAATCCAGAGAAAGTTAAAAGCATATATGAATCTCCTGAAAAGCTTTACGATAGATAGCAAAGCTAAAAAATGATGGGATGCAAAATACAAGGCGAATACATTTATACTCTAAGCACTTACTTTTTATTTTAGGTATTTTAAATTGATACATATTATAAAAAGCCTAAGCTTATCAGAAAGATATTTATATGCAACATGTTTTAGCCTCATTACTTTGATTTAGATAATTAAAAAGTATACATGATTGATGAGGAGAAAGGAGTTTTTGAGTTTTCTCTCCATGAAATTCACTAACAAGCAAATAAAACAGAATTCTGTCTAAAAGGAGATAGCCTTTATAATAAGTCAAAGTCAGGACAACTAATAATTAAGCCTTTTAGTGAAGAAAATTATTTTGTAGTTATAGGAAAATAAAGTAACAGAAACTATTTAGCAGAAATACAAAACGATAATGCAATTAGCACAAGCGATGATGAGCCTTTTATTTAAAAAATTTATTTCAACAAGTAGTATATATTTTTCCTTACTCAAGATAACATCCATATCATTTACAGGTAATAAAATTATAAATATTCTAAATTGATATATTTAATTTTATATGAACAAATTTTATGAAAATGAATAAATTAATAATACACATCTTTGAAATATCAAATTGTCTTGCTAAAATTGATTTAATGAATTCTTATTAAAAATTTTAAATATTATTAATAATATAATAGAGGTTTAGATGAGTAGATTGTTAAGCCTTCAGAGAAGTAATACACTTTTGAAGTTATTGGAGTGTAAGATCTACACTTAGATGAAAATAATTACAATAACTTTTATGCTATAACTTAAAATAAAATAATCAACTTTTAAGTTGAAAAGATGAAGCCATAAATCAGCTGTTTTTATAATTAAAGAGCAGAAATCTAAGAAGAAAGGCTTAATAAGTATCTTATTTAGTATGTAAGCAGCTAATGCTCTGATAATTCAACAATGTATTGTAAGTACGAAATGGAAATAAATGCATATATAGGATATACTATCACTCGATCTGATACAGAAGCTTTTTTTATAGGATTGATATTTGGAGTAGTTTTGATCTTAATAATTTTCATTCTTTACTTTTTGAGAGCTAAAAAAAACTAAAAAATTTAGAGTTATAACTCCTTTCATAACGAAATGGTATAAGAAATGGAGTAAAGTGAATAGTCATCTCATAACAAAGTTTGAACTCCTCTAAAATTCTAAAAAAGCAAATTTATCTTTATTTAATTAAAATCAGCAAAAACCACTTACTATCAATTAATTTATTTGTATATTTATTTATTCAAAATTCTTATCTAATATTTAAAAGAATTTGATATATTTTTTATGATCTAATGTATTAATTAAATAAAATCCAAAACCAATAATTTTTTAATTTTGTTTTTAAGAAAATGATTAATTTAAGAATCGAAAAATTAATATATAACAATAAATTATATTTATTTTTGTACAATTTATGATATATTTTGATAGAATATTTATTTTTATATTTCAGTGATATCTTCTAAGAAATAATTAAATAAAACGCTTTTATTTTTTTTAGATGCATTAATTGTTAAAATAGAATAAAATATAGCTAAAAATAATAAATGATTAATAGATAAAACTAATTAATTACTTATTATAACTCCAAAAAATTAATAAATTGTAATAAAATTATATTTATTTTTGTTTCTAAAACAAATGTATGAAATATTTTGATAGAATATTTATTTGCTTATTCGAGTAATATCATCTAAAAAATAATTAAAATAAATCACTTTTATGTTTTGTTCAATGCATTTATTATTTAAAATAGAAAAAACATAGCTAACCAAAATAAATGATTTAAAATAAACTAATTAATTACTTATTAAAACAATGTATGATATATTTAGATAGAAATATTTATTTACTTATTTGAGTAATATTTTATAAAAAATAAGTAAAAAAAAATCACTTTTATCTTTTGTTCAATGCATTGATTGTTCAAATAGTATAAACATAGCTAACTAAAAAAAATGATTAAAATTAAAATCAATTAATTACTTAAACAATATATGATCTATTTTGATAGAATATTTATTTATTTATTTGAGTAATAAATATCATCTAAAAAATAATTAAAATGAATCACTTTTATTTTTTATTAAATGCATTTGTTATTAAAATAGTATAAACATAGCTAACAAAAATAAATGATTAAAAGATAAATCAATTAAATACTTTTTATATATAAAGCAATATTTATTTATTAATATATTATTGTAATCATTATTATGAATATAAATAGAGCGTATAGTAAAAATTTAATTATAATTCAATTTGATAGTAAAATTTGTTTTTATATTGATTGATTTATTTATTTAGAAAATTAATTAAATGCTTTAGAAGTTGCTTAGATTTCTTTTTATTTATTGTTTTATGTAAGATTTAAAGTACAGCTTATAATTTATATGGCTTTCACTCATCTTCTCCTTCATCTTCGCTATCTGAATATAATCTGTTTTTCTTTCTAGTTCCCTATTCTTCTTCAACTTTTATATCTCCGTTATTAGTTAAATCATCATAGTCTTATTCTAGATCCATTTTATTAGCTTCTTCATATTCCATGTCGTCCAACTTAGGAACTATAAAGTGTTTCATAGCTATGATGGTGGATTCATTTTCAGGTCCTTCAGCTTCCCAGAATTCTATACCAAGAGAACCGTCTCTCAAAATCGAAATACTCATTTGTTCGTCGATTGAACAGATGTGGGATAGCTATTTAGCATGAATGTGAGATATTCTAAAGAGTATGTTTTAGACACAGCTTTTATCGTTTTCGTTTTCCTAAGACTCATTATTCTATTGACTTTATTACTCGTCTACGTCAAAGACCTTAACTTCATCATAAACTATTTTAATAGAAGGGTTTTTTAGCTTGAAATAGATAGTTCCAGTTCCTTGTTCTCCTTAGCTCCTGATGTTAAATGACATCTCGAGATCACCTTAATTAGCAGCAGAAATATCAAGCAATTTAGATAAATCCTTGCTCTTAATATTCATCCCAAAGAACTTTTGGTCAACTTCGGGGAAAGGAAGTCTTGAGAAGTTAAGCTTAATTTCTGAACGAGATTGAGTAACGAGACTTTCGCTTTCTGTGCATTTTAACTTGATATATCTATTATCGCCTTCCTTGCTTAAGAAAATATTGACAGTGCAATTCTATTCAGACAACCCACTTACATTTTGAGCAAATTAATTAAAATCTAAAATCTTGCACATGACTTAATTTTATTCCTGTTTACTCTCAAGAACGCTTGTGTTAAGAGTAAAATATTCTGTTCCCATTTAAACTTTGATATTGCAATTACGTAAATTTTTGGAGTCATATTCAGTAATTAATGTGATGAATTAATTTGTTATCATCAAGTAAACCTATTACTAAGGCATCAAGGCTTTCTTCAATTGCTAAACGATCTTTTTGAAAGTGCCAATAATCTTTGGCTTGAGTTCTAAATTCATCCTCATCTCTATAAAAAGCTAGCTTTATCTTTATTTTATTCTTAGTTTAAAAATTCTATTTTTAATATACTTTTCTTCTTTTAAATTGAATTAAATTTTGTATATTTTGATTAATTTTCTTTGTTAATTATTATTATTCTATCAATTATCATAGCATTATTAATATATTAATTACAAAGACTTAAATAAATCTTTTCTATTTTCAAATATTAAACTTAACCGATGAACTCTCATCCAAAAATGCGCCAAATCAAATCAAAGATAAAAGAGTTGAGGTGCTGATAAATTACATAGGCATTCAATTCTTTGTAAATTTGAATTGAACTAAATAAGGAGGCCTTTCTTATTATTATATAAAAATTTCATTCTATTTTTAATAACCAATAAATAAGTGAATGAATTAATAATTTATTATTTTAATAATAAAACCAACAAAAAAATATTAATAAATTAAAAATAAATTTTTCTTTGCATATTTTTCTTTTAATAATTTTCACATTAACTCATTTTTTATGTTTCATACAAAAAAATATTTTTAAATCTAATTCAATCACAATTTAAAATGAAAAATAAAACCTTTTTTTTAATTTTTCAATTTAAATTGTTTTAATATTTTTTTTAAAAGTAAATAAGCTAATTAATTTTGACTAATTTAGAAAATTTTAATAAATCTAATATCATTTGATAAGCAATTCTGAAATAATTCCAAAGAAAAGTGTAGACAAAAAGTTATTCAAGACAATTATTTAACAATTTTTACATTAATTCATATTTTATGCTTTATACAAGAAAATATTAATAAATCTAATTCAATCACAATTTAAAATGAAAAATAAAACCTTTTTATAAATTTATATATTTAAATTGTTTTAATTTTTTTTTTTTTAAAGTAAATGAGCTAATTTTGACAAATTTGGTAAATTTCAATAAATTTAAACTCTTTTGATAAGCAATTCTCAAATAATTCCATAGAAAATTGTAAACAAAAAATTTTTAGACAAATATTTAATAATTTTTACATTAATTCATATTTTATGCTTCATACAAGAAAATATGTTTAAATCTAATTCAATCACAATTTAAAATGAATAATAAAATATTAAAATAAATTTATCGATTTAAATTGTTTTAATAATTTTTTTGAAAAGCAAATGAGCTAATTTTGACTAATTTAGTAAATTTTAATAAATCTAAAATCTTTTGATAAGCAATCCTGAAATAATTCCATAGAAAATTGTAAACAAAAAGTTATCAAAGCAATTATTTAATAATTATTATCAACAAATCAAGATAAAAATTCTAAAATCAAAAATTATTCTATTTAGTTTTAAATATTTATTTTATTACTGAGTAAAAATTAAATGATATTTTCTTTAATCTTTTAATAATAGTAATACCTGTTTTTAAGGTGTTGACATTTGAACTAATTATGAAAATAATCCTATTAAATATTGAATTAGTTAGTTAGGTTTTTTTTTGTTTGAAAAGAATTTTTAATCCATTGAATTATCTAAAAAAATAATAAAATTGATTAATTAGCTTACTTTTTAATTTGGTTTTTTGATAAGCTGAAAAATAAATACAAATACAAAATCATATGAATTTTTAATTGAAAGCAAATATTAACAATTAAATTAAAGAAAAGAAAGATATTGATAATTAATTAATTAATTATTTATTCATTTATTGATTGATTAATTGAGTAAAATTTAATAAAAATAATACAAAATTTAATTTTTTATATTAATTTTAATAGCTGGTTTATCAAATTACTATTAGAAAGAAAGTTAAAAGCATAACAATTCATATACAAAAATGAATGAAGACACAGTTATAGATAAGCAAACATTAATTGATTACTTTGATTAGTTTATTTAGCATGCAATTTTAAAGGAGCTGAAAGAGCAGTAGTTAGAAAAAATATCAAATGAATGGAGTTATTTTAAATAACTTTTAGAAAAGCTTTAGTAAGATCCTTAACGAATTCCTATTTATCTTGACATACTCAAGAAATCTAAGGAGACTTAGGGAGGAATCTAATTAGTTTCTAGCAGCAGCAATAATCATCAGTCTTAAACATAGCTATCCAGATAACCGAGTGATAAATTACCTTAGTAGTATTTATAAGGTAATTAATTCTTTTTTAATCTTAATGAATAAATACCTCCTTAGTTAATCGATTAGCTTTACAAATTAGAGCAATGAAAATTAAAAACAGAAAATGTTAAATTGTTAGCTAAGAAAATTAATTGATATTCAAATTAAATTCTTTGTTAAAATCAATTTAATCTAATATATTATTTATATTTGTGTTTATAAAAAATATGGATTATTTTTTTGCTATAAAAAATAGGCTAAAATAGCAGTAATAATTAGCAAACTACTTCAGCAGTTTAAGTATAATCACCACTTCTTAATAGTAACAGTTCAAATTTAGTAGGTAAATGACAAATTTATTTTATTTATAGCAAATCGCTTTAAATAAATAAAAATGAATTTAATTATTTTCTAGAAAACAATATATCATAGTTTTTTTGATAATTTAATTAGGGAAGAGGGACACAGAATAAATAACTCAAAGTAAAGAATAAATTTAAAATAAGTATTAGAATCAGCTCTCAGCACAGCTTGCTAATTATAGTAATAAACTAGGCTAATAGTAGCAAGTGTTATAATCGCTGAGTAATTAGTAAAGCAACTAAATACCTGAATTAGTTTAATAAGCTAGTAATCCGTTAGGCTTTTAATAAACTAATTAAGCCAGCAATTAAATAAAGTAAGAAAACCAACAAGTAAAAAGAAAGGAATCCACTGACATTCATCCTAACAATCTCTTTTAAAATATCTCTGGCACATCATAAACAAACACAGTTTCAACTAATTCAAAGCATTCAACTGAACAAAACACATAAACTCAACAACAACAGTAGCAAGCTCAAGCTCTTTTTTTGAGTAAAGACAGGTCTTCTAATTCAAATTTAAGCTCATTTAACTCAGGTGACTAACAAAATTCGTTCCAATCATTTTCACAGGAATAGTAGATTGCATAATAAAATTATTAAAAATCAATAAACACAACACCCGTAAAGATAGAACCAAAATCGATTTTTGAGGTAATCTAGTTATTTGAAAAACTATAAAAACTATTCATTTTTCTAAATATTAAAAGAAAAATAAAATCTGTTTTTATTTTAAACTATAATCATAAATATTACTTTTACATTTATAACTGAGATGCTAAGTTTAAATGTTGTTTAACATTTTATATTAATTTTTATTTTTGATAATAATTAGGAGCAAAAGAATAAATTCAGATTCCAAAGAGATAAGATAAAATCAAAAGTTAAGAGCATACTCAATTTGTTTAGAGAAAATAATATATATTTAAAGTAATCATATTTATTTATTTATTCATAAATTTATTGCAAAAACTAAATATTAAGTTAATTTATTTGTTTTGTTTTAATATAGTAAAGAAGATATTAATGAAAATACAGAGAATTTAGATCTAAATACAATGATTTTAAATCAATAAAAATAAAATGGACCATCTAGCATAGGTTTAAAAAAGCAATAAAGTGACGGCTCTAGCATTTCAAAAACTAATAATATTGCAAATATATAAAGTCCGGATATAAATTTAATTACAAGCAGCAAAACAAATTTAAAAATAGATCAAATACCATAGCTTTCATAAATGTAAAACCAGAATTTAATAAGAAATAATAGCAGTAATAATGTAAACTCGCAATCAATATCTAACACTAATAATCCTATTTTAACTTACTCCAACTCTACAAACAGCATAGTTAACTAAGAATCTTTTTAAAATTAATAGAGCACCTCTCAGCCAACCTCTTCTAATTTTAATCATTAAAACACAAATTCAAAAGGAGCAAATTTATCCCATTTCAGTAATTAAAATAACAACAATAATATATATCAAAGTAATAATTTCAACAACAGCAACAACAACAATAATAATAACAATTAACAACAAATGTCTAACAGTAAAAGAAATGTGTTTACACAATAAATAAATATAAACTCTTAAAATTAATAATAATAAACCCAAATATCTAATTAATTGTTTTCAAATAACTGATATTTCTATATTAAAAATGTATATAATTTATTCTGATTTTATTATTTATTTCCTTGTCAAAATTTTATTATTCAATTAAATCTCCAATTATTTTAATTTTTAACATTATTCTTTTTTCAGACATCAAATTTACTGTAAAAGCCGAGTGGCGCAATGGTAGCGCAGCAGACTTCTAATCTGAAGGTTGTGGGTTCGAGTCCCACCTTGGTTGCCATTTTTATTTTTGAAATTTATGTAAATAGTTAAAAATTATTTTAAACTATTTACAATTAATTTCAATTCAAAATTTATTTTTGCTTAAAATTATTTTAGGTTTTTCAAAATTTAAATTTGCTTAATCAAACCATTCATTTAAATTAATATTAACTTCAATTAATACCTTTGGTTATTTTGAGTATCATTTTATTTTATTTTTTTAAAAATATTTCACGTTTTATTAATAAATCATAAAATATTTTAATACTTTTTTAACATTAATTTAATTTAAATTTTAGAAATTTGATATTTTAGATAGAAGAAACATATTGAACAAAAATTTGTTAATTTAATAGAAGTATTCTTATTGTAAAGCCGAGTGGCGCAATGGTAGCGCAGCAGACTTCTAATCTGAAGGTTGTGGGTTCGAGTCCCACCTTGGTTGCCATTTTTTTAGTTAAGTTTATAAAAAAAACTTATTAGATTAAGAACATTCCAAAAATAGCAATTTATTATTTATATTTTAAATATTTTCAGTCGATTATTGGCTATAAATCTTAAATTAATCGTAAAGCCGAGTGGCGCAATGGTAGCGCAGCAGACTTCTAATCTGAAGGTTGTGGGTTCGAGTCCCACCTTGGTTGCCATTTTTATTATTATTTTTTAATTAAATCACAGTAAATTACAACAACATAAAAGGCATTTAATTTTTGAAAAAATTTGCATGATCTTTTGCTTTTTTCTATAATTTATCGTAAAGCCGAGTGGCGCAATGGTAGCGCAGCAGACTTCTAATCTGAAGGTTGTGGGTTCGAGTCCCACCTTGGTTGCCATTTTTTAAAAATAATTTAATTTATTTTTAATAATAAAAAAAAAATATTGGCAACTGTGAGATTCGAACTCACGCGGATTACATCCAGGCGATCTTAAGTCGTCCCCCTTAACCAACTCGGGCAAATTGCCTTGATAGAATATTAAGGTATTTAGAACCTTAAATAAAATAAATTAAAAGTTTATTTTATTATAATGCTAAAATAATATGATCAAATAATTTTTATTTGCATTTAACTTTGATCTACTTAAAAAATAGTTAATATATCTTAATTAAACTAACATTTTCAATTTACTGGTTTTATAATTTTGAAACAAAAGTAGTTTTAATATTTTTTAGAATTAGAAATTATTAATAAAAATTATGTCATTTTTTTACTTTTTGAAATCACGATGAAAAAATAAACTTTAGTCAGTAAATAAAAGTAAAATAAGCAAAAAAAAAAATTTAAATTTAATTGGTAGATAATTCTAATTTAAATAGATTGAAGATATTACATTACACAAAAAAGATTACAACATTGAAAGAATTCTTTATACAAATAAGAATAGAAATATAAAATTTGAAATAAGCACCCTACTTCCTACTTGGCAAATATTTAATTTTTAAAAATTTTCTTATAATTTAACATAAGAATTTTCATTTAATAAAAAACTAAAATTTTAAGGGGATTGGGGTTTAATATTTTGAAAGTTGCTGTATATTTATTAGAATTTATTTTATTTAATTTTTAAGACTAGACTAGTTTTTTAATTAATTTATTAACTCACTCACAAAAAAATATATGTTAGAAATTAGCAGTAGTAAAATTCAACAAAACATAAAAAATATTTTTTGTATCATTTTTAAAATATTTTTCTATTTTAATATTTCAGATAAATTAATATATTTTTTTGTCTTTTTAATATATTTCACCATTCAAAGAGTACTCAGTAGTATGAATAATCATTACCTTTTTAAAAAATTATTAAAGACTTTTTCAAAAAAATGAAAATTTAAGAATTTTACTTGTTGACTTCTTTATATAGCGATTCTTAGATTATTAATTACTTTCACCAATATCTTATTTTTAATAATTATTAAATAAATAAAAATTTAATCAATTATTGAAAGAATTAAAAACATTGAAATATAGATATCAATTATATCTTTTATATTTATTTAATAAAATTTAATTAATTAAAAATACCATAAATAAAGATGTAATTCAGTAATATTTTGGCATTTTTCCAGACTCTTTGAAATGCTTTGAGCTCCTTCATCTGATAATTTATTATCACTAAATAAAAGATATATTTAATTTCATATCAGTAAATGTGTAAGTGAAATTTTAAATTAAGTTCATAAAATAATATTTCATTTTTTAATTATTTTCTCTATTAAATTTCAAAATATTTACCACAAATAAAGAATTAAAAATTTAATCAATTATTGAAAGAATTAAAAATATTGAAATTTAGATATCAATTATATCTTTTATATTTATTTAATAAAATTTAATTAATTAAAAATACCTTAAATTAAGATGTAATTTTGTAATATTTTGACATTTTTCCATACTCTTTGAAAAGATTTGAGCTCCTTCATCTGATAATTCATTATCACTAAATAAAAGATATATTTTATTTTATAGCAGTAAATGTGTAAGCGAAATTTTAAATTAAGTTCATAAAATAATATTTCATTTTTTAATTATTTTCTCTATTAAATTTCAAAATATTTACCACAAATAAAGAATTAAAAATTTAATCAATTATTGAAAGAATTAAAAACATTGAAATTTAGATATCAATTATATCTTTTATATTTATTTAATAAAATTTAATTAATTAAAAATACCTTAAAACAAGATGTAATTCAGTAATACTTTGGTATTTTTCCAGACTCTTTGAAATGCTTTGAGCTCCTTGGTCTTTTAAATAATTGTGACTAAATAAAAGATATATTTAATTTCATAGCAGTAAATGTGTAAGTGAAATTTTAAATTAAGTTCATAAAATAATATTTCGTTTTTTAATTATTTTCTCTATTAAATTTCAAAATATTTACCACAAATAAAGAATTAAAAATTTAATCAATTATTGAAAGAATTAAAAACATTGAAATATAGACA